TGTAACACACACTGGGTGAGAGACAAAGCTGTTCTAGTGTCCTGTTCTGCAGGAAACACACGGCGGTGTTTGCACTCTCAGTATGTGTCTCACATCTCGTCTGCATCGGTCCTGTGGTGCTACAATCTGGCCTTTAACCCTTTGAACCGCAAGCGGAGGCGTTTTTACTCACTGTAGGCTCATTTTACACTAAAGTCCTGCACCTCAGCGGTTAACAGCACATTAACGGGTAGAAATAAGGAGATTTAAAAAATTTCTGTGCAGCAAAACAAGGTTATAATGTAAGAAAACATAAAAAAACTAAAGTTCTTCTTGTTTGATTATTAATTTTACAAAAATAACAAACTGCATGTACAACACTGTCCAATAGTTACCCAGTGTTACCAAAATACTGACTTCACATTCTGCGTTTTACTGCTTTAATTTGCTTCTAACACTTTTCTCCTATCTGAACACAGCCCTCAGTACAGCTGAAACTTCTATGAATTATTGTCACATGACTGTTGGTCGCAGTGGAGTAACTAATAGCTTCTCAGTTGCACCAAGGAGCACCAAATTTTTCGTTTTTTACAGAACCTGTTTGGAGTAAACGGTTTATTTTTTGGCAAATTTTTAAGCTTAAATTAGTTGAATTATTGCAACAAAACCAAAAGTCACACATGATTAGTTCAAGGACTGTCAAAAAGTAGAAAATCCAACTGTTTCTTGCTTTAAGAAATGCTGTAATTTAGCTTTTTTTTTGGTTAAAAAGATCTTTTACAAGCCAGGTGGTGGGTCTTGTGCTTCAGAGGGTCAACTGTTACTAAATCAGATGCACAATACTTCTCAAATACACAAAAGTTCATCTAAAGCTCACGAGGGTTTATTTATTTTTTTCATAAAGCTCTCAGAACTAATGCCAGCACAGATCAGGAAAACACAGATTAACAAGTGCAGCACAAAGGACCCTTGAGAAGAGAAGGGAAGGAAAGGAAGGAGAAGTGGTACTGAATGGGCGCTGCGTCGCACTCGACTCATGACTCTGCACAGCGCTCATAATACCTTTGAAAAGGGAGGAAATCGGTTCAAATGAATCATTTCGCTGAGGAAGAAGTTTACCAAAACACAATATGTGTCAGGCAATGACGCTAAAGCTTTACTGTCCTTTTGTCTCACAGTTTTGTTCAGCTAAAGATTACTCATTCATTTAAAGACTTCCCGTGTGAACCTGTAGCGATAAACTGAGTTTACTGTATGTTTTGGATGGTGTGAAATAGAGGTGTGTTGCAGCGGCGAGATTTGGAACTGATGCATTTGTGGTAAAAGACAAACTCTAACACTTAACTTTACTGAAATGCCTTATTTCTGCTTTACATCTGCAATTAAAGAGGACTTTTGCATATGTAGCCTTCAATGTTGAGTAGCGAGTACTTGTGATATGTAATCAGGACATTGCTCAAAATCACACAGATAGATTGAGGCAGCACATTTAAGTGAATTTATTTAATTGGGAATAAGTTTAACCCTCCTATTACCTTCAAATTTGCTGACATCTTTTATCCTTGGGTTCAATTTGACCCCAGCAATTTAGATCTCCAGAAAATATCATGAATCAAAATTGTTTCCCAAGTTTATGTGTAAATATCTCTTTAAATAAAGCTGATAAAATTATGTCAGTGACTTATTTAAAGGTCAAATTGACCCCCAATATAATAGGAGGGTTAAGGAAAACAATCATACAGATAATAAGAAAAATGCTGAACAACCATGCCAGTAATCTGTCAGGCCTCTCGTATGAAACGAGTCTGACAGAAAGCTCAGCCTGACGTGTGGTGCTTGCACAGCAAACACATGCCGCCTTTGTGCTGGAGGACAGGTGTGAGCGTGAAGCGGTGGCCTGAACTGGGACAGGTGGTGGCTGTTCGTCAGACCACGGCTCCGGTTTGATACATGTTCTCTGTCTTTTTCTGTAAAGCCAAAAGCAGAGTTGACACAAGAACAACCCTGTGTTGTTTTCCAAAGCGCTGGTATCTTATTAACTCGAGTCAGCGAGTGTAACTGTCTGTATTGTATAAAACAACAAAGGCATCAGGCTGATATTTTCTCTCTCTGAGTCTTGAAGGAAGACACAAGGGACCACCCAAAGTGTCCCAAAGCTCCCGATAGTGTGACGCTCAGCTCTACAGTTTCGTTTGATGATGCAGATTTGGGTTTCTTGCTTTTTTATAAAGTGTGATGGTTGATTTTTGCACAAAGCGGCCGTCCTGACTTGTACGCCGGAGCACCGAATGCTTGTGCGTGAGGCGCCAACTGTTGCTGTTGGAGCTGATGATTCTGTCTGACGCTTGTTGAGTCAATCTGTCTCAGTCCTCAGACGGTACGACGGCTGCTTCGGTCATTTCTGCCTGGAACTGTCTGATTTTTAGTCATCGTTGTTGTCGGGATCGCTCCGTATAGTCACTGTAATTAGTGTCATCACCATATTTATTAGTCACTATACATTTACCAGTAAGGGTAGAAGTGATGTAATTCTCTTGCCCTTAACTTCACAACAAATAATGCATCATTGTCCTCTATGTGAAGAAGTTGGGTGGCATTTGTTAGCAGTGCAACTCCCTGACATGTCTTTTTTACCATCGATCAATTTCCCACTGCACGAGGTCACAACACTATTTAATATCATCCTGTTAATAGTGATGCTTTCGATTACTGTGCTCCACAGAAGTGGAACAATCTGCAGAAGCTACTAAAATTAGACAAGCTGCTACCTTTTTAATCAATTTAAACCCCTGTTGACTTGTACGGAGCAGCGTGAATGTGTGTTTTCTTTAAACTGTGTCGTCTCACTTGATGTCCTTCATCTGTTTGTTGGCGTGTATTCTAAGTATTGTGTGCTTTTCATGTTTTATATATTGTGGAAAAAAAAGCTAACCTTCATGATTACGTTCAGGGAAAAAAGACCACACCAGATAGACCTTGTATGTCTGAAAAGGTCGGCAGGTTTGAACATTCGTACATCATTTTTTTTTTCCCCTTTGAAAGATGGCATCTTAATACTCCCTGACCTCTCACCCTGCACTCTCCTCACACCACTGCAGACAGAAAGATAGACAGACGGGTCAACAGAGGTCGGTGCTCTTATCAGCGCTGAGGGGAAACCATGGCAACCACGCTCCCAGCCTAATAACCATGACTTTCCATTACCGCGACCCCAAACTCTGACCTTCACCTCAGGCCCCAGAAGCCTCGGCGCGTCTGTGTGGACATGAAGGTCAAAGCGCGGATCTGTTAGTCACACTGATGCTCTTTCCTCTCTCGTCTATTAAAGCGAGTCTCAGAGTGTTTGTCATGATGCGTCACCTGGTTTCTCAAATGAAAACCTGTTGGCACGTGAATCACAGACACTCTTCAGTGTGATAACATGTAGTTGCAGCTCCCTGTTTGACTGTCAGACCGAGCTATTATCTGCTTGAATCCAGATGTGAGCGATGTGTCGCCTCGTGATCCACATCTTCCTCTGGATTTAATAATAATAATAATAATAATGATACTTTATTAATCCCTGACAGAGAAATTCCATTCACAGTTACATCCGTCCGAGACAGGAACTGTCGGGACTGCCAGCTAAGCCAGCGCCCTTATATATATATATTTGTGTGCGTCTGCGTCAAATCAAACATCCAAAAGCAGAGTCGTCTCTGCTGCAAGCGTCTGATAAGGAGGATGTAGCTGAAGTCGCAATTACCAAATAAATGTTCTTCAGACAACATGCATGTGTGCACTAATACAGGGATATTGGAGAAAAGAAGAAATGCATAAAGATTTTAAAGAAAACTCACATGAAGGAATGCAAATCTGATTATTAAAACTGCAATTGTGGAGCGAGAAAACTATTTCAAATGTCTGTATTAGTGTATATATTTGTAGTAATTATTGTCACACTTGTTTATTCAATCAAGAATAGAGGTTAAATCTTTCTTCCATCTTTCCAGCGAGAAAAATAAAATAGCAATTTACTTTATTTCTATTCTTTTGAGGTAGATCAGTGTGAGTGGGCTGTATAGAAGCAATGCTCGATGCACAGTTTTAACTTAGACTTTGTGCAGGATAATCAGATGCATTTCTTAAATCAGATGTTTAGATTTTCTGTACTGTTAGTTCCAAGTGATCAGATCTCTCTACATGGCTTCCTGTAGGAATGATCAGTACCTATGTAGGCATTAGGAGATCACTCTTGATAAATTGTTTCCGGTAGCTTCCTTCCAGCTTTGCCTGTTCTGAGGCGTCCCCTAGAAGTGCCAGCAGATGATTTATTCTGGCATCTGTCCACGGACTGTTGTTCTCCGTGTTGTGCGCTCCTGTCACTTTGGATTTGACGCTGTTGTTGTGCGTCGCGCTGTGAGTGATGCCAAGGAAACTTCAGCCTTCAGAGTGTCTGGACTGATCTGTAAAAAAAATAAATAGAAAAACACATTTCAAGTCACATTGGCATTTTTTTTTGTGCTGTCTAGACATTCTAAAATCAATCTGGACACAATGTGGAAATGCCAAGAAAAAAAAAAAAGCAGACTCAGGCTGGCATTTTTAACAAGGCTGATTATTTCGGGAATCCATGAAAGCTGCACAGATGTGGTTCTATTCTGACCGATCAAAACCACCAGATTTCCTGCCCCCCCCCCCCCCCCTTTTACCTCCACGATGAGGTAATGCAATATGTATAGGGCAGATGGTTACGGCAGAAGGGGCACGTCTACAAGCCCCGTACTTAAATAAGCCTCTTTGTCATGACTTCAGCAGTAACCTGCGTCGAGGCGTCGGGTCAGATGAGTTCAAGCTTCTCTCTGCCGTCAGGTACACATGAAATATTCACGTTACCTGACCTTCATGTTGTTTCTGCTTTAAGAAACCGGCCTTTCTCTTCGGTGCAGCTTGGAGTTGGTTAGTTCTGCTCTAAAGGTTGAGAAAAATATTTTGGCAAGCGGTTGTTGAGTCGTCCTGTGAGATTTATAATGAATGCATGAATCAAATAGACATTACATAATATTAATAGGTACAGATGTGGTTGGAATCGGTTGTGACACACCTGGGAAAAGATTAAGCAATGCACTTATGTAAAGAATGTGAGTAATTTGTTTTTGCCAGCCTGTTTGTACGCTGCTGCCGTGCCCTTAAAACCAAAACATCAACACTAATCATGCCCGTCCCACGCCTGAGTGCATTCGTACTCACTGCTGCATGTGTCTGCATGAGTGTCGTAAATAGCAGCTCACGGTTTCATTTCGGTTTTCGTGATTGACGTGTGAAAGGAGGCGGCCGTGCGGTGTAACCAGCAGTTTATCCCACATCCACATGGTTGCCTCTTGCTTCATCTCACACACATATTGACCAATAATGCACGCAACTACCACTCCTACTCAACTATGTAAGGTTCATACTGTTCATTTTGATGTTAACCCGCCTCTTTTGCAAACTTATACTGCAGATTTTAGAGGGTGTTACAGATATATTACCTGCAGGGTTTCACATAGTTGGAGGCCTGAGGATGTCTTCCTGCTGTCATGCTGCAACTGTCTAGGTGATGTTTCTGATGCCAGAGTGCTCTAGAAACTTTTCTTGCACCGCTGACAAAATCCAGCCTTCAGGAACTTTCATGTGACTTTGTTCGAGCTGGTAAATTCTCTTCAGCTTTGTCACCACCAAGGCTAAATATTTCCACGTGTTCTTCCTTCCTGACCACTTTCTTTTCTTTGCAGGAGACCCTCCAGCAGCTGGTGATGATGCCTTTGCCGAATGTGCTGGTGCTGGGCCGAAACCCTCTCTCCGGTAAGTGACGGTGCACCAAACACTACAACCACATCTATATACAGGCTTTGACCAGCGCTGTGCAGGTTTTAGTCTGAGTGCTCCACGACAGTTCAACGAGGGGACACATGCGATTTTGCAGAGCTTTTGTCACTGCATTAGAATGCAATAATAGACCTGTTTTAATTATCCGGTGCTTTTATGTTTCACGTCTCTGGCTGTAGATTTCACTTTCCAGCCGCTTCATTTCATTGTTTCTCCTTGCTGCTTATTTGATTTGCCATTAAAAAATTAGCCGTGGTGGGAGGAACTTAACAGAAGAAAGTGGAAAAATAGATTTTTTATTGCAGAGAAGATGTAAAATGGACAGATTAATGGGTTCTTTTCAAGCTTCTCCTTCCTTTCGTCGCCCTTTCTTCGGTAAAAGCCTACTCGTGCTTTATAAATCCTCGTGCTCACCACAGGGACGTCCCCGCGGGCCGAATCGGCGGAGCTCTATTACCCGAAGTGTTAAATTCATTTTGTAGCCAAGCTTTGACCTGCTGAACCCAGCCGCGCTATTCGATATGTCTGAGCGGCCCGAAAGCAACAGTGGTGCAGAGTCAAGTGTTTGAATGTCACGAAAACGGGTTTGAGCAGCTTGACCCGTGCAGCCCCCAAGTGCTATTTGATATTCCAACATGGCCTTGATGAAGCCACCGAGGAGAATATAGCGAGCAGGAGGTCATCGATTAAGATAATGGTGCACTGAAAATGCAATGTTTGTGTGAAATAATGCTTGTTTCCCAGCGCATATAGATAGTGAAACATTTGCTATAACCACCAGAAGATAATTGGACTGGTTGCATAACTTCTGGAAAACAGAGCTTCTTGGCCTTTGTGCACCATCATCTGCTCCTCTAACTGAACCGACTCAGCTTTCGCGGCTTGTTGAAAGATATTTGTGTCTTTCTAAGCAAACAGAATAGCCTCTAAACCCCTGTCCACCCCCAGCTGCCTTTATCACACTTTCACCACAGCCGTTGCTGCTATTTTGGGGTTTTCATCGCTTTACAATGGTCACAGTTACCTCGTTTAATTTTCATACGCCCCCACCAGAATGGAGGGTAAATAAAGGAACAATGAGAGGCTGCAGGGAGTGCACACATGGATCATCGGCACCATGTTTCATAACTCTTGAGCAGCTTTTTGTTGGTGTTTTTTTTTTTTCTTTTTTTAAATCCTCTCAGTGCTGCTTCCCATAATAACTCAGTCTAGACATTGTGAAGACAAGAAGGTTCGAGTTCATGAACAGAACTCTTAAAATAATGCCTTTGCTGAATTTAAGACTTTTTGCAAAGATCGCTGATGCTTTTTTTTTTTTGTCAGAGCTGATATCAGTTATTAGCAATAAACGAGACTGATAACTTGTATTTGGAGCTAATATACATGGGTAACACAAACTCCAACACAAAACTTAGTTGAAATCATTTTGTTTGTTGACATTTTACAAATGTTTAATTAAAAACGAGCTCTTTAAGCATGTATCCTTCAGTGATGACAAGCTGTTACTGCTGACATTTAGCCAATCAGACACTTTAAAGATTTTTCTGGGGCATTTTACAGTCTTTTTAAAGGAATAGTTTAGGAGTGACAGGAAAGGTGAGGAGGGGATAGAGGGGGGATGACATGCAGCAAATCAATGCCGATCGATGGCCACTGCGGTGGGAACTTCCAGCCCTCATTCATGGGTGCTCAACTCGGTGTGCTATCGAGGGTCCAGAGTAGTGCGTTTTTAAATTTTTTATTGGAGATTGCTCAAAAAAGAATGATATTGATAGTCAATCAATCTCTAATCTGCCTCAAAAATCATCTAATACAGCAACCTTTCACATTAAAAGCACACCAAAGTCGACCCAGTGCACACATAAGATGGAGGGAAGCTGCATCCAAGTGCACCAGAGCAGGCAGAAAACATTAGACTGCATTCCTCAAGGTCTCTTTTGCCCTTTACCCCGTAGCTCGTCAGATAATCAGTCAGCCTCTCCGACCAGCGGCGGCCGCGGAGTCTGGCTCTGCGGCCCAGCGGCTGCCAGCTGAAAGTCATTGGCCATGTGGCTTTTATTAGGCTCCCATTAGGGGGCAGGGGGACAACGCTGCATGTGTGTGAGCGCACGCACGTGTGTGTTTAGTCGGTCGGATGGGGGGGAGGGGCGTCTTCACAACAGTGAACAGTGGGAATGCACTGTAGTTACCCCCCAGGCTCTGGTCTACCCCAGTCTGTCTTGCACAAACACGCACAGTCAGATGCACACACACAGTCCGCTGTGCATGCAAGTAGTGTTTAGTCATGCACATGTCAGAACACACACACACAGAGCGCCTCCTTTGTTTAGTCTGTCTGAATGTTGGCGAGTTATTAGCAGCGATCCGCTCTCTTATTCTGAAAACTTGCTTTTCTAAGTGTGTGTATGACCATCAGTGATTGCAGGTTGTTGTTGCCTGAATACGGCCTGCAGATGCTGTTTACAATAAATATACAGCAGTGACCAGTAAACATCAAATCCTCTCCGTCTACTACTTCTGCTAAAGGAAGACAGTTGGCAGCCAAATCTCAGAACCTGAATACATTTCATGAACAAATGTGGCCAAACGTATCCCTGACACAGTTCAGAGCTGGTTTAATTGATGCACCGCTCAACGGGCAGAAATCCTTTTGACAGTAGCAGCAACAGAAAAAGACAACTGTTGGCAGCTGACAGCTGACAGAAGGCATAAACCGAGAGGCTCCAAAGTTGTGTTTGTGAAGCGGTGGTCCATAAAGAGGTGTTCCATGAGTGTCGGCTAATGTTTGGTGCATTCATACAGTCTGTTTTCTTTAAAATGTGCATAGTTACAGAACAAGATCATGTGCTTTAAAGAAGGTGAAACAACATAAAGAGTCAAGATAAAAACAAAGTACGAAAAAACATAGAACCTTAAACCTAATAAAATTGTATGGTTTTAGGTTGTTGTTCACACTAATAGGAATATTTTGTAAAACCAATTTCTTCCTCCATATTTCTTATATAGTTTCCTCTATATGTTTTAAACCCAGGTTTGTGTGGACATGTAAAACGGAGAGTCCCAATAAAAGTGGATGTAAACTGGTTTCTTTATGTTTTGTTAGTATGAGTTAGTATAACTTAACTTGGCATTGCTGCACCACCACACAATGTAGAGTTCATATTATACTATATTAAATTAAATTAGATTAGATTAGATTATTTATAGTCATTATTGATAATTTATAATACATTTTTAGTGATGTTTTTAATAAAGACCAGAAAACAAAAGATTAATTTAGTATTTAACTGCCTTGCTTCTAGTTATATCACATATTTAACCACTTTAGCCTGTTTAAAGTATAGAAATAATTAAAAACACACACAAATAAATGATCCATGTAAATAAAACTGAAAAAGAATAAATGAATGATCTCACCTTGATACACATAGATTAATAAAACCAGTGAAACACAGAGGTGCACGGAGGGCGACCAGGGCGGCGTAGCTGCTGCAGCGGTCGGCCTTGACTGGGTGTAACTGGGCTGGAACTCTGTTCTGACCTCCTTGTGCACCCCAGCATCCTGCAGGCCTCGCAGCAGGCTGCTGGGAGTGTGACGTGGGTATTTTTAGACCATGAAGCCTATTCTGCAAGGGCAACCACTAGTCCCTTTAGGCCACAGCCTCCACCGGAGAGGACGGAAGTGACAAGAAGCCCGGGCAGCCTCAGACTAGCGAGCCTTGGAGGACCTGAGCGACGGAGGGACTTGGTTATCGAGTGACGTGATTGGCTGTTTGTGAGCCAAGGAGGGAGCAAACTGGGCATTTGTTCATACGACTGAATTTTGTGTTTTCGTTTTGTGCATTCATGGCGGTTTGCATCAAATTAATTTCAGTCAAACTACTAAACCTTCTTTAAGGAGCCATTAACAAAAAAACAAAACTCAGGTGTTAATGGCTCCTTTAGGATATAAGTGTCTGGAACTCCCAACTAGTCCGTCAGAACTGATGAAGCCTCTTGGATGAGAGGTGGAACGTCTTCAAGAAACTCAAGCAAGTCCAGTTGATTAAACTACGAGACAAATTCCTGTATTTAAGGCGATATTTTGATGGTCATGTGGACAGAACTAGTTTTAAACAGAGGGGGAGGATGTACATTTAAAATATATCCAGTGTATACAATGCTTAATGTGTACACAAACAATGAACCTAAACTGGAGAAAATCCCAGTTTGACCAGTATTATTTCTAACTTTGTATAAAAGCAAGCTGTGCATGGCTGCCTCTGACAGTCAGCTCCAGGCTGTTGGGAAGACGCCGTATCGTGTAAAGCCCTTAAATAATCTGAAAGTAATGTTCGGCCAGCTCTGTCCTCGAATCCACTGAGACGGGCTGAACACGCTCTGGCTCGCTGTCAAAGCAGCATCAGATTGGTTGTACGAGTTTTATCGGCGACATGCAAGTCATCAAGTCCTGAACGGCTCGATTCATGGTGGCAGCAGAGAGGGTTGTAGCAAGAGATTGCACATGCACGCAAACACACACACTCTTGTTCACTCACATCCTCACACACAGATTAACAATGGCATTGCAGGAAGACGGGTTAGTCACTGTCCCTCTGACCTCCAGTTTCCTGCCATGAGGATAAAACGGGGACACGGGAGGAAAGGAGGTGAAAAAGGAAGGCTGGACGAGTGAATTTAAACACTCATCTGTAACAATGTTAAAGGAAGGAAGGAAGGATGGGTGTTGGGGAGAATAAATGGATGAATGATGTATAATAAGGGGAGGAAGAGGGTGATGGAGAAGAGACCAGAGAAGAGTAGCACCTCCTTCTCGCCTCCTTGCTGCTGCTGCTGCTGCTGGAGGGAGATTTCTTCTTTCTATTTTCAACCTCGCCTCTTTGCCTTCCTCCCGCTCCGTCTCCTGGTTTCTCTATTTCTATATTCTTCCCCCTGTGTTTGTGTTGCTTGTACTCGGTGGTGCTTTTCCCCTCTTTTGTCTCTTTTCCTTTCATCTCTCCCCCCTTAACCGTCTCTCCCTCTTGTTCTCCCTCTCTAGCCGTATAAATTATTTATCCTATGAGGTCCCTTATCTTCCCTCGGTTGGCTCCAGTAGATTTGCGGGGCTAAATCCCTTCCCTGACGAGAGTAGGTTCCTATGGCTCTAATAGAGTATTGTTAAGCCCTGCAGCAGTGAGAATTAACTTTTATCTGCTGTCACCCGTCTAGGTCCAAATATTCTCTTTATGTGCTTTCTTTTATATCATAAATGGAGGTGCTGATGATGAAGTCAGACGTTTTGTATTTTTCTCGAGTGCTGACAGACGCTCCTCTGTGTTCACTCTGAAAACAGAAGTCCTTGCTTGATTAAATATTCTTTAGCGATAACTACTTAGCGTTAAAATACACATTATGTAATAAATTGTAAGTAATGGAAAATCATTTTTGTTTAAAAAGCGGAGTTAACGCTCTAAAGTTGAAGCATCACGTGTGAGCGCTCTTCTGCCGACCATCACGGAAAGAAGTGAGATTGAATAATCATTTAAATATGGAGATAATGGCGCGTGCTTTTAGAGTGGCTCTTCTCTAATGCATTTATAGTAGCACGAGTAGTTATGCAAAAAGTAATGGGGAAAAAAACGAGTTGGAGAGAGAAGTTCAAACCCTCCAACCTCTACATATCTGTCCATGTGGCTGCTGGAGGAACCCAATTTCACTCCAACTTTGCACATACTGCCGCTTCAGCATCATTTTTCAACATGCAAGTTTGTTTAATAGACCTAAAAAAAAACCTGTAAAACTCAGAAATAGATGCTGTGAGTCCTCCTCCAAATGTTCTCTTTTGATGTTGCTCCTTTTCAGGTAGGGAGTTGTTTGCCTTGTAGCGTGTGGTTTTGTTGGGAAAGAGTGGATTTTAGCCCAAATCGTGATATTTTTTCATAACTTTGCCAAGTGGTTTTGGCCCCTAAACTTAACAGAGAGTGAAGTGAAGCAAATGATGGTCCTACAACAGACATAGACCTCCAACCACTGAGGAAAAGCATAGCAGGATTTGACGCCCTGGAAATGAGAAGGGCTTCAGTCAGCTTCAGACATTTTGAGCTTGTGTTTTCTTTACATTTGTTTAACTTTGCTGTCCGACCTAAATGCTGGAAAGCTTCCCTCAGAGCTATAAGAAAACTAAATCCACCGTGTGTCCTTGGCTGCAGCACAAATGCAATTACAGCTGAATTTCCATTTTATAATGTGAAACATTTAAACAGTCTAAATGAGTGAATCAACAGTGAAATCATGTTCAGGTGGCTGCAGAAGTCCAGGTTTCCACCAGCTGGAAGGAAAAAAACCCTCCAACCTGCCTGACGTCGCTGATTGGACTCCGGCCAAATGTTCAGCTTAATCAAAGTTTCAGTGCGTGGAGAGCAGCAGGGTTCTCATCATATTCCTCTTGATTTGTTCATTGAAATTCACACATGCGCTGACGCCGGCTCGGTCCAAGGACGCAGCACTAACAGTCATGAGCGTAATATTGAGCTCTCCGCTACTCGCTAGCACATTGATTTGTGTGCATCTATTGATTCAAGAGGAATGAGAGAAGGGAAATTGATTTGATTGTGTGGAGGATTCTGTAAAATGGATGGAGGCTGTCAAAGGGCGACACTGTTTTGCCTTATTGAGTCGTCCCGAAGGAACAACCGGATCGTCTGTTTCTTGGTGCTTTTGTGGTTATTCGATAATTTGCGATAATGCCGAAACGGTTTATTCACATGATTCGATTCTCATTTTTAATCGCCTGGAAAGTCCCACGAAGATTAAAGTCATACATCAAAATTGTCATTCCGTGTGCCTGCTGGTTGTTGGCTGTTCCTGCTGGGATGATCAGTCCATTAACCGAGAGGCAAACAGACCACCGCACACAGAAAACACACTGTCGCTAATCTGGATTTATTATCATTGCAGCCGGACACTCGCTGCCCTCTGGGCCACATGATGAGCTGGTTTATCACACATCCTGATTCAAGCAGGGAGGGGAAACACGGTGCAGATGTACACATCACGCATATACCATGACACTTAGTCAGGGCAGCACACACCACCTGGTTGCTCAGCCCCAAATCCCACAGATGAGCTCAGGCCTGTTGAGCAGACGAGCAGCTGTTTGCGGCGCTTTCTGACAATATGTCCTGACATGTGGAGGAGTCCTGGAAGTTCATCCTGCCAGCCCGCTAAACTGTGGAAAACATTGTGGCACGGCGACTGGAGGAAGGGGCTTTATAAGGGGGGAAATTGTAACAACCCCAAGAATTTAGCTAATTGGAAGTAAATGTGGGAAAGATGGGAGGATTTATTCCTGCCTTAGAATGAGGCAGCGCTGGTATGCTAACCATGACCCATGAAATCCAGATTTTTACGGGGAAAATAAATGCAATTTTTCAGATGAGTGAGACCCCATATGCCAAGTAAACAGCCGCGACCCAGATGATTTTATAACATCTAAAGCTTCACTGTAAAGAAGGACTCAACAAATATCCAGTTATTCGTTATTACCCTGCAGTCAGTTTGCGGTGAGGTGTTTAAGGTGAAGGTTTCCACTGTTATGAACAAAACATCAATTAGGAGAATGTATTCATCACCCTCTGTGTGTTTTAGCTGCTTAAAAAGCCACAAAAGCTGATTGAACAGAATGTTTGACAAGTCCAAACTAAAACAAGACGTGCTCAAAATAGAGTCAAATTACCTGTTGTTTGCTTGGTTTCTACAGTAATTTTGTTTTGGTTTTCATGCAGACATATTTAAAGTGTTTTTTTTTTCCCCCTCCTTACAGAGCAAGGTCTGGAGGAGATGAAGAAACTGTTGCTGCTGCTGCTCGGCTGCGCCGTTCAGGTGAGTTCATCTAAACACAAAAGCCCCTTTCAGACATTCACAGCTTTCCATTAATCTGAACGTGTCGGCTTCACGTCCGAATGAGCGCTCTGGTCGCTTTTCTGTAGAAGCTGTGACGGCACAAGTGATGGAGCTTTTTTCCCACCACTGTTGGTCCAAAAAGAGCAAAAGGAACAGTTTACTCGCTTAAAAAAACACCTTCCTCATTCACTTCACAAACTTAAATGTCCTTAAAGACAAAAGTTTACTGCGATGAAGACAGACTTTAACAGCTTCATTAATGAGACTCAACAGCTGTAAATGTAATCTGGGTTTTTACAAAGTGCCAACAGGCTTTCATGTTTAGTTTGTTGCTTCCAGCTGTTTGTACGAGTCATTCCTCTGAGTTTATTAAATACCTGCAGCATCAGACAACAGCAGCGGCGTCTCTGAAGCGAGAGAGTCGAGCACATTTACACACCTGGAACAACAGCAGTAGCTTCATTACTACATTATATCCATTAAACATATTACAATAAACTGATTAGGATAATACATTAGGTAGACTATATTGAGCACACTAACATATTGTTTTCAAAACCAAATATTTGGAAATGTATTGATTTATTGAATTTCAGGACTGCGTGAAAAATGTTCAAATTAAACAATAAGTTACTCCCTGATATACAGCAGTTCAAGAGCAACCATGGAAGCTGTCAGTTAAAAGGAAATTTAAATGTCCTCGTACCACCATAAAGAGAAGATGTTTGTGTCAGTTTGTGGGCTAAAACTTTAAAATAATCTGGATGATAATCTCATAATGAGTCCCACTATTAAAAAAAAAAAAAAAAAAAAAAAAGACAAAACGTACAAAAACATATAATAATGTGGAGCAGCAAAGGTGTTCTCGGGGTTTCTTAAAATGTATGTGGGCATAAGGCTTGAAACAAATAGGAAACAGTAACGTATGCAATAAGAACATGTTGAAAATAGTAAATTATAGCTTCATCCTACTCGTTTTCAGACATTATTTTAAGGTTTGGGTTTCTTCTCATTGTGTGAAATTTATTGTCTTAACAGTATTATGGCATATCTGAAATAAACCAATCAATTTATTAATTAATGACTTAGAAATATATATTATTCCTGACATGGGGACAGGATCAAACAGTAAACGTGTACTTTGTCACACACAGAGTCCCAGTTTATCAGCTACACTTAAATTATTTGTTATATTGTGGATTTGGACGTTTGTTTATTAGTGCATTATGTCAGTTTGTGTACTATTAATAATCTCCTCCCATGATATTTTAAATGTTATGAAGTCCAACAGAGCTGCTTGTTATAGTCATTACTCTTGGTTTTGGTCATCTTACGGCAATTTAATTCCAAATCCACAAATCTAATTTTGCTGGACGTCTGTCTGTGTCGGCCTCCCGTCGTTGCTGCCACTGGTTCCCTGTGATGGATGAATCAGCTCCATCATGCAGCTTAATGCAGCTTAATGAACGGCATCGCGGACCTTTTCCTGTGTTGTCACAAAGCTCCCATTCAGCTCTTTCTCACACAAGGCCATTGACCTTTCACCAGCTCTATTGTTTCACTGAAATCACTCCATAGTTGCATTCATGCACTTAACTCCAACTTAATACTTTGCCAACATCAAGCCTGCGTTCAGCACAATCCACCTTGAACTGAATGAGAATTATCCTGCGGTGAAACCGAGCGCACATCTCCGGCGAAATATCCCGTTCTAATCTCATATTCTGCCAGCGAGGGAGGAAAATTATCTCTGATACAGAAGATAAACTTTCATTTGAAGGCTTGTCTACATTCCTGGATGCAACTGCTGCTTCCTTTTATATCCAATCTGTTTTGTGTCTGCAGTGTTGGTCCACTAACCTCCTCTTGACCCCAAACCCACACTAACGTCTTAAAAAACACCACCCCCTACCTTTCTTCATTGAAGTTTCATAAATTAAACTGTCATCCCTGCCTGTTCCTTCTTTGTTTACAGTGCGAGAAGAAGGAAGAGTACATTGAGCGTATCCAGACTCTGGATTTTGACACCAAAGCTGCCATAGCATCCCACATCCAAGAGGTATTTCTGCTCCACAGTGAACAAAGAGATCAAGATATTTTAGATCTTAGATCATGCTGGATCATTTTTTATGGTAGTGGTTGGATAGTGATGAAGCTTTATTGATGATATGATGATGATTGTAGGTGACGCATAACCAGGAGAACGTAGTGGACCTGCAGTGGTTGGAAAGTGGAGAAATGCCTCCTGAGGATCTGGACGGCCTCTCCAGAAACCTGGCTTTCCACCTCAAGCGCCTGGTGGACGAAAGGGACACGCAGCTGGAGGTAATGTCATACATGTGTGGTAATATAGAATTTAATCTCATTGAGAAGTATCATAACCAGAGCAAACTAGAAAACTGTGGTAGTTTCTGTGTCCTCCTGCTGTTGGGAGGAGACTTGCTAATGAAACTTATGGGCTGTTTCTAGCAGCGTAATGTGGAAACTTTTCCTTTTTTTTTTTTTTTTTTGGCTGTTACCACAAGAGAGAAGCCTCAGGAAGGAAGGGCTGCAACTGTTAACCGTCTCATAGATGGGCTGCGTGTGCGTTTGTGTGCGTTTCACTTTGGCTCTATGCGTCATTAAACGAGTTTCCAACCCGTGGGGTGCAGATCTCCACCACTGATATGGCAGATTTTTTTTTCTGTGTGTGTGTGTGCGTGCTTTTGTGTGTGTGTGTGTGTGTGTGTCGAGGCTTCTAATAGCCTCCAGATTATCACTGTGTAGTCCAGCCGCTCTCAATTAAAATCCCATTTCCTGTCACGGGCACTAGATCAAAATAGGCTGTGTGTGTGGGAGTGTGTGTACTCCTGATGCCAGCTTTCTAGTTTTGGGGTGACGGGAGTGCTTTGGTCCAATCTATACATCCACTCTCCTCTTTGAGTTTTAGTCGATCCCGCCATCGATTCGCAGCCTGATCTAACCGTCGCCTTTCATTTACGCAGCACCTCACCTGTCCTCCTGTTTCTCCTGCTTCCGTCCAGACTATAGTGGAGCTGACCCAGGAGAGGGACTGTGTCCAGCTGTCCCCGCTGGCTCCCTGTCCCACCCAGTCCCCCGGTGACTCCCCCAGCATGAGGAGGACCGAAAGCCGGCAGCACCTCTCCGTGGAGCTGGCGGACGCCAAGGCCAAGATCAGGCGTCTTCGACAGGAACTGTGAGTGTCACGGCCTCTAAATAGTTATTTAAATTGGGCAAAGGGGACAGACATGGAGATGATCAGCAACTATAAATAAACCTACACACTAAATGGTCTGGACATAATGGACATAAGTACAGCTGATTTGGTGTATTAACAACTTGCTGCACTTTTGGATATTGCACATGCTGAATGTTACGAAACTGTGGTGACTTAAAGCAAAAAAGTACACGAGGTGCAGTTGAATGTAAACGTATGTGCAGGTTCAGTGTATGAATATGAGACAAAAGTGCATAAGATGTAGATATTTAGAAAACCCATGTTGATGGCATCTTCCCTAACATTTTCTTTGTCAGTGTTACAGCAAGTTGTTGCACCACATTCTCCATTTGGTTCACATCTGCTTCCCCATGAGGTCATGTAAGGTGGTGCACTGCTCCATTAGTGCTCCCTCTGCCCCAGTAATCCTAATAATATTCTGTAATGTGTGATTTTTTTCCCCATTCTTGTAGTGTGAGGATGTCTGAGATTAGAGAGAATATCTGTCAGGTTTCTTCTTATGTGTGTGATGCAACTTCAAAACCTTCCTGGATTTTAAAACTCTTGTAGTCTGATCCCGGCGTTAGTCAAGTGCAGTTCTCTAAAACCTTAATGACCGCTGCAGGGCTTGAACATGAACCTGAAATAATAACAGCGATGAGGAAGAGAGTCCGGCAGTCCATTTCCTCTCTGCTTCATTATTACTCACAGGAGACGCTGCTGTTATGGTGTCACACTGACTCACACAAACACACACACAGCGGAGCGAAGCAGCTCCTACAAACCTTAAAGAGGCCTTTTAAATTCTGCCTATGAATAATGGAGCTTCCGTTTTAAAGTGCAAAGACAAAGGCTTTAATGGCCAGCACAGATCAGCTAGCAGGGAAGGACGACCTTCTGGCATTTGTGCTTTTCACTTAGAGGGGAAGTATTTCAATGCTGCAGGAACATATTTAGCTAAACAGACAGGCTGGCGTCACGAAGTTGAATTTTCAGAAAGCATGCGGTTCTTCCTGCAAGGGAATCATTTGCACGGTTGAGTAGATCTGCTTTCCAAACAAGAAGTGTCCATCCATCACCTTGGTAGCATTTAAATGAGCACAACCAACAGTGGATGCTTTGCGGTTGCTCAAATGTATCCAGAAAAAAGTTTGATTTAACAACAGTACCAGCCAGAAAAAGCTTGATTTACATCCATGTAACTCTGCAACAGGCTTGTTAGTGCAGTTCTTGCTGCTTTCCATCGCTGTTAGTGGAGAAGCAACGTGAGAAGAGCCAGCTGCAAAAGTATTTAAACAAATGAAAAATGTTAATTTCAGCAGCGGTTTTGCATCGTTCGGTCCCTGTGTTTCGCGGGACGTATTGTTTTTGTGTCCTTTGTCGTGACAATAGTCTGTGTGAGGCCGAACTGAAAGCCTAAATTAATGTTCTTTAACAATACGTCCGAATGGAGTGCAGGTCAGCCTCCGTTTGGTCACATGAAAAGGCTGAAAAGCACCTTGAGCGACCCTGAACTCATTTATTCTGGTTCTTGTGCTGAAAACGTCTGACATTAATCATTCTGGACGTCTCCCTTATACTTCCTTGACCCACATTATAACAATTTGTTCAGAGGACGTAAATGGGACGACAAAATGAGTCATTTTGTTTGTTGGTTGCTATGGCGTTGTTTACTTGTTGCTGCGGTGTCAGCGGTGGATATTGTTATGCGAAGAGAAAGACAAGGAACAAAAACAAAAAAAGAAGCCTTCAAGTCTGTCTGCTCTGATGCAGCCTGATCACATGACTGCTGTTTGTTCTCTGGAGCGGAGGCTGTGTGTTTGTTGCGTCTGTGGATGCGTGGACAGATATCGCCTCTGCATACAAATGTCCATGTGTGTGTGTCTGCTGTGTGTGATGGAGTCCAGGTCAGAGCCGCAGGGTTTGGGTCGCTTTTTCCCACAGTGGACTGTTTGTTAATGCTGCTACTGTGGTTTGGTTGTGTGTTTTTTTCTTCACTTGTAGACACTCACACACACATTGAGTTTATTCCTATAAAACATGTTTAGAGTCATATTTACTGCTGTTACACAGTGAAACATTTATGTGTGCTTTGCCTTGATGTTTAGCTAATTAGCTTCAATGTAGATGTATTGGACTCAGACTGAGCTAAAAACGTTTAAATAGAAAATGAATTCATTAGGTAAGTCGCTGGGGTCTGAAATACGACAGCATTTACTGGAGAGCATGCACATATTTACACACAGACACATATTTTCAGGGTCAGATCGTTTTGACAGCATATAAACGGATAAACAGAAGCTGTACACTGTAAAGGGAAAAAAAAACACATTAAAAAAATACTAAAATTCTGGTAGCAAGGGTGCCAGAAAAAATATGTTAAAATGGTGGAATGCTGTAAAAAAAAAAACCTGTGAAGGTAATGGGGAACATCTTCAAAATATTGGTATTTTAAGCGAATTTAAATTCAGTAAAATGGTGTAATTTTTCAGTCACACATTGTGAAAGAACAAATGACTATTTGTGAAAGATTACAGATGGTTTCTATCACCATTATGTATGTTTTAAGTTTTGTTTATTTATCTGTGTTATTTAACAATATTATCTTTAAGTTAACAAAACAGAGCAAATCTGGAAAATAATAATGCATAGAACTGCTTATTGTTTTTAAATTAATATTCATATTAAAATACGTTTTCTTCTTGTAAATATCGGCAAATATATTTGTAGTGTAGTGACATTTTTTCTCAGTTAAATACAGTGAAAAGGTGTAATTTTACATTCAAACACTGTAAAAGAATAATTTGCGATTTGTAAAAACACAGATATTAGATGTGGACATTTATTTTATAGTTTTTTATGACTAACATGTAAAAAAACACTTTTTTTCTCAGAGTTTTACTCCATATTATCTATAATTTGACAAAACAAGGAACATCTGTTTAATAGCAGTCATTAAAAAAAATAATGTTAAAAAAAACTTGAATTTTCACAGTGTAGCAGTGACAAATCATTACCATTTATGGTATCCTTTTTGAATTTAGGGTCATCCAGTTACTCCTCTATCAGTAAATCATTAGAGTAACCGGACTGATGCCGACTCACTCAGGGAGATGAAAGCAGCAGTATTTCCACTGGCTACCAAAACCTCAAACTAAACCGGGCTTAAATTATTAAAGACCGAAGGATCGATGAGCTCTAATGTGATCGGTTCTGCTCTCAGTACTGGAGAAATTAAAAATATAGATTTCCAATTTATTATAGCTGCATAAACATTATCTTACACATCGTTTCTCACCAGCTTCTGCTCCTAATGTTTGGAGTTTGCAGCCACAGACCCTGAGGGACGAAGACAGAGAAACGGAGGTTAAACTTCATTAGAGTCGATCTCTTTGCTGCAAGCGTAACACGCCGTCTGCATGTAGGAGCAGAAACGCCATAAGTCTGTTTAAACATCCAGCAAAATGCTTCATTCACTACTGTTTATGTTGTGTTTGTGAGCCCCAACGCACAAAGTTAATGACATAATACGAACATGGATCAGTGATTAAACAGTTAATCGTTGGTTGAAATGATCTGAGCATCGTCTGATCTGTTGCTCATAAGTTCAGTTTCAAAGCACTGAGAGCAGGAAGGGTTTAGTGACTTGCAAAATCTTGCTTCATAAATCTTTTTTGTTGGCAGCGGTACCGGAAATACACTAATGTTTAAAGTAAACCTAGTAATACTACACTGTGAAAATACTGTCAACACACATTTTTTCAACTTAATAGTGAAGCATGAGCATCGTTCGTCTTCTGTTTTGCTTTTTCTTGTAAGATACCCTTAAAAGAACCGGTAAGAGTCCTGTTGAAGTCGTGTAGTAGTGCCATTAAATTCTTAACGATGCCCATTCCTAAGCTTAATGTGCACGTTTTGCTCTTTGCAAATGAGCAGCATGTCGAAGCAGTCGACTATACTGTCATTTTGTTATTGTAAAAATGAATCTTGAAGGCCTGTAAAGTTGATTTGTACCGATTGTGTTCAATATTTACCGAAGTGAGCTGCTTGCAGATAATAGTATGGTGTCAGTTGAGGTGATTCAAATGCTTCAAATGATTTTTGTTTGCTCTCTGAAAGGCACGGATGGATTTTGTTTGGTTGAAAGATTTAAAGTTCTAGAAATGTCAAGGTGAGGATCGCAGCAGGAGGAGGATAAAGGTTGCTTTTGTTGTCTTGCTTTTCAAATACAGCCGTGCACACAAGTGTCTTTGCTTCAACTATTAACATACGCGGCAGAGTCAGCTGCATCCATAATATGAGCCCAGAGCTAATCTGCCATGCTCAGGCTGACAGGTGTTTGTGATTTAAGGAAGGAGGAGGACGGCGAGAGGAGAGGGGAGGTGGGGAGGGGGTTAACCGATGAGACGAAAACAGAAACATGTGAAGGAACATCCTGCCCGAATGCCGACTGACTTCACAAATAACGTGAGCTGTGGGAGGAAGCAGGAGATGAATGAGAAAGCAAAAGAAAGACCGCAAGAATAGAAAGGATGCCTTCGCTTATTGAGATGCACGGCGAGACTCCGGAGAGCTGTAATCAAATAGGCCATCAGATGTTCAGTGGAGCAGCATCTCAGGAATGCGGTGGATTTCTTTCAAGGCGCTGTGACACATCCTCCCTGCATGGACGGAGCCTGGAGAGTTTGCACACATAAAAACCGCAAATGTCAAGCTGCCCCGTTTCACTGTCATTTAAACAAATGATACAGAGGAGCGAGTAAGACACCACTATTAAAGGGGAAGGAATAATATATTTAACTTGTCTTGCGACACTTTCACAGTCGAGTGTTAAACTTCATCTCCCTTTATTTCCCTCTCTCTTGTAGTTGAGCCTCGAGGGAAGATTTGCAAAGCAGTCACGGGGCTCTGCCTGTTTTCAAGTTGTGGCTGTTTTATGTGTTATTATGCCGAGAGTGGTGTCCAGCACAAGAATGTTGTTTATTAGTCGTCAAATTCACGCCAACACACAGGAAAGACACTGTCCTGACCACCACAGCTCACACACACACCAGACACAACAGGTTATTTCTACCTAACGAACTGGGTTAGTGGGTTTTCTTATGACTTTTACGGAGGTTTTCTAACTCATCAACAAAGTCGTACTTGTTTAATAGGAAATCCCCCGCGCTGTGTGTCACCAGACTTTATTACTGACTGCAGATCTAATCGAGTGCGACAATCTTAAATTCAGGTTAAAACAATCCAGTCGGTTGTGTTTTTTTTGTTTAAATGGATTATCCAGTGCTTTCTAAGTAGAATCCCTAAAAAGCCACTGGGCTTGTCTTGTCTTGATAAGCAGCTTTGTCCTTATTTGAGGTATTTCTAACTGCAAATACGAGACTGCGAGGGACAAATCCATCGGAAAGTTTGTTTTGCATTAACTAGGCTTAGCTAGACTGTTAAAAAATGTGCCTTTTATAATCTTATTTTATGATTTTGCTTGTTCGCCTTTAGCCTGTTATCAAGTAACATTAATTTATTGCTTAAAACAGTCCGATTTGCTTGTTTTAAGCAAAAGCATGCATACATCTAGAAATTTCAGCCTTAAATTTTGCCTTTTTTGCATTAAAGTAGTTGAAAAATACAGATTTAACAACTTCTTTTTGAGTTTATTAAAGCATCTCAAAAAAAAGTTTAAATAGTCCAGCCACTGAAAGTTAAAGAAAAACATACTCAGGCAAACTTTTCTGTGCAACTAATGGGCTGCCGCCATTAAATGATTTGGCTGAAAGCTTTGAAATGGAAACAGCCCTAAAGGAATGTCCTTGTTCTGTAATAGTCACACATAGACTTATTTTTTTATAAAAAGGGAGCCACATGATTTCTGCTGTAGAGCTTCATGTTAATCGTACAAGCAGAGACCAAAAAAATGTGCTTTGTGCGTGCAGACATTTTTTTTTTTAGGTTACACTCTCTGACCTTTTTTTTCCATTTCGTCCTCCTCTGAACGCTCCCGTGTGTGTTTTTTTCAGAGAGGAGAAGAGCGAGCAGCTTCTGGACACCAGGCAGGAGCTTGAAAACATGGAAGTGGAGCTCAGGAAGCTTCAGCAAGAGGTAACAGTCACAGCGACTCCTCACGCACCTACATGCAAACAACACAGCTTCCCTCCTCTGTCCAAGCACTGTGTTTCTGTAACGCTGCCAGGCTTTAATCAGCTGGCTTGTGACTTAGCTCATTAGAGGCTATTAGAGCTATCTTTAGTGGAGCAGCAGCCTGACAACATGGCTTTTGATTTGGAGTGGGCGGCAATCTGACGCGTGAACTGCAGTAAACAAGGTGGATGAGTTCAGGGCACGGAGGGCAGCTTATATATGTGTGTGTGTGTGTGTGTGTGTGTGTGTGGATGCGTGTTTGTGATAATTGATAGTGTGCAGAGTTTGGTCTGCTCTTGATCTCTTTATGTAACAGACAGCGGTTAATGTCGTTAGAGTTGATGGATAATACACCTGTCATGCAAGACAACGGATCCACTTTACCCACTTAGTAGTTATAAATAAATCTGTATTTTTTTAAAATCCTGGTTGTACGTCACGTGTTTTCTCTGTTATTAATCCACATTGTTCTGTGTTCGGCGTTCAACTCCCCCCCAGAGCTACCAGCTGCTGTCGGACGCCCGGTCGGCTCGGGCCTACCGCGACGAGCTGGACGCGCTCAGAGAAAAGGCGATACGAGTGGACAAGCTGGAGAGCGAGCTGATCCGATACAAGGAGAGGCTTCATGACATCGAGTTTTACAAAGCCAGAGTCGAGGTACATGAAGATCAAACAGCGCCTTCGAGCCCAGTCTTAATAATCAGAGTTCAAAGTGGCCACGCTGTGACCCCACAATGCAAAATATCAACGTGCAACACGAGTTTTGACTGTAAAGAGGGATGTATTTGAATTACAGACAGAAGTATTTGCAATATTTTGCTAAACATGCATGCAAAACATCCACACAGGGTGAATATGGACGATAAATGTGTTATTTGAGAGAGTCAAATTATTTTAGTCGATTAAAGATTTTTGTTTTTGGTTTCAACCTCATCTAGAAAAACACAAAAGTAAAAACTAGATGCTTTTATTCTGAAGCAAACAACATTTTATCAATAGTAGTGTTAGTAACGTATATACAATAATAAAAATACAGTTTCTTAGATAAAAAAACAAAAACAAACGAGCTACAGTTTCTCTGTTTTGTGGTTTAACTTGTCTTCTCTGTTGACGTTGTGGTTTCCGTAGGAGCTCAAAGAGGACAACCAGATTCTCCTGGAGACCAAGACGATGCTGGAGGAGCAGCTGGATGCCACCAGGACCCGATCTGACAAGCTGCACCTCCTGGAGAAGGAGAATCTGCAGCTCAAATCCAAGATCCACGACCTGGAGATGGTAAGATGGTGGATTTATGGAAGATACAAAGAGTGACGAGGTTTAAATGAGAAGTCACGATGAGTAATTTCAGCATCTATCTTGACACATTCTCCAATCTTATCTCCAGGAGCGCGACTTGGACCGTAAGCGCATGGAGGAGCTGCTGGAGGAGAACCTGGTGCTGGAGATGGCCCAGAAGCAGAGCATGGACGAGTCACTGCACCTCGGCTGGGAGCTGGAGCAGCTGTCCAAGACGCCAGAGATGACCGAAGGTAAGAAGACGAAGAGCCGAGGATGAGTTAAAACATAGAAAAACAAAAGGTGGGAAAACAAGGGCCGCCTGTGTTGACCTGGTTGAAGGCTTCAGACGGCCGGCAGACAGACAGACAGGCAGACAGCTTTGGTCATTGGCTCTTGATCCTGGCTTTGTCTCCGTGGCCCTTCTGCATTTGCCAGCTTCCACTGTGTTTTCCTTCCGCTCGGTTAAGACCTGTAATTAATATTCAGTGGCTCCTGAAAGATAAGCTGTGTGTTTGGATTATCAGAGCTGTTAAGAGGGTTAACTAGCCAGGGATCTGGATAAACACGTTGTGTGGGTGTTTGTCTGTTAAAATGGCACTTTGAAAGCTTTAGTGCCTGCAGAGTTGGAGCATCGGGCTTTTTGCTAGTTTATTTTTTTAGGGACTTTTTGACTCCAAAATTCACCAGCATGTTTCAAAGGCATGTTCTCTTTCAAAAACCTGCGAATGTACACAATTTATTTGTACCAAACACTTAAAAATAGAAAGAATTGTCAGATTTTCAACTTATAGATGAGCATGTTAACCAAAATTTATGTTTGAAATCAGGATATTCCACCAAAATCATGTTGTTCCATATGTTTAATCTAAAAATTCACTGCAAAAAAATAAAAAATACTCTAACTAGTTTCGGTAAAAAACAAACAAACAAAAAAATAGCTGTGATGAAAATTCAGTGACTTTTTTTGGTCAAATTAGTCTGAAATGCAAGTTGTGCTTACATGAAGCAAAGACTAATGTGGAAATAAACGAAAACTATCAGTAGTAGTAAAGAAATTTGCCCTTTTTTCTTCATTTTTGGGATTTATGGGACAATTACTGTGAAATAAATTAGTTTTAAGTATTGATAACACTGTAGGCACTTGGTAAAAGAGTGTTGAATCAATGTTATTTCCATATTAGTAAAGTAATCTTTTTTTTTTTCTTCATTTTTTATGATTTATGGCATTGTAACGGTGTGACATTGCTGTAAAGTTCATTCTACTTGTAGCCGTGGCGCTGCTGTTTCCACAGAGGTGTAAGCCCTTAAAATACAACGTAAACTGAGCCCACAATGAGTAAAAATGTGTTGACATGTTGCTTCTGTCTTTGACTCAGTCCCTCAGAAGTCTCTGGGCGAGGAGGTGAATGAACTGACCTCCAGCCGCCTGCTGAAGCTGGAAAAAGACAACCAGACCCTGCTGAAGACGGTGGAGGAGCTCAGAGGAGCAGCGTCTCAGGACACCGTGGGGAAACTGTCCAAAATCAACCAAGAAAACCAGAAACTATCCCAGAAAGTAAGCAACAGGCTGTCTGTTTTTCTGTTTGGGTAGGAACTAGCTGGCAGGTTGAAAGAATTTCCTGTTTTTTCTTCAGGTGAAATGTTTGTTTAATGACTCAGTGGTAAAAAATACACACATGTGGGCATGAATTTTGCTATTCAAAGGTCAAATACGTGCTTCACCTCTTGTCTATGTACAGACAAAACATAGATTAGTAATCAAGAAAATTGCATTATTGGCTTCAGATTGCCTGTAAAGTAAGTTTTGCATCATGTGAAATACTTTTAAGAAATAAGAAACTATATGGATGGATGTACCTGCCTACAGTAACCAAAATAAGGTTTAATTTCTGTGACTGAAATAAAGTGAGGTGTACTATAGATGCACTAGATCCACAGCGCTGCATTCATTTTACTTCTAATTTTCTGTCTCCCCATCAGCATTAGCATATTGCACCAGCCCTCCTCCATCATAAATCAGCCCAATACTTGGCTGTAGACCTTTTTTCACAGCGGCGACAATGAGAAATAAAAAAAGAGGGAACGAAGGAGAGAGCATACAGAGGGGTGGAAAGGAGGATGAAAGCAAAGCTGTAAATCCAGGCCGCCCCGCATTGCCTTTTCTTTCCCAGTCTTTGACACTCGAACGCCCCTCGCTAAGAGAAGTCTCTCAGCTATTTTCAGAAACATAAGCCTCTCTCTGTGCCCTCGGAATAAAAAGCATGAAATTGTGTTCGGCTCTCACAAAAGAGAAAAATCCAGAGTGAGAAATTTATTTCTGAGCGACTCGAGGTCCCAGAGCCAAAACACTATAAATTGTGAATGCAGCTGCTGGGAGACTCACAGAAGTCGTCTAATTTAATGTGCGTCGTCTGTTTGTGCGAACTTCAGCTCGTACGTGTTTGTCTGCAGGCCTGTGACAGAATGAGGTGATGTTTCACGTGTTTGTAGCTCGCTCTGATTCATTCACTGCACAGGTGATGCTGCAGGATCATCGCGATACCTGCAACTGAAGCCATCGACAGTTTTGAAAGATCGAAACACGATCAGCAGTTTGAACTTTATTCTTTTTCGCAGTTGGAGCAGCTGGAGACTGAACTGACGGCAGACAGAGACTCGCTTCGCAGCGCCGAGTCGCTCAGCACCGACCTGATGAAGGAGAAGGCTTTACTGGAGAAAACCCTGGAAACACTCAGAGAAAACTCAGAGAGACAGGTTGGTTTTCATAACCGGGACATGCTCTGGAGTTCCCCATCAGTAGAAAATGGGACATGTTTAGGTGCATTAACCCTATATAATTACTGTCTTTGCTTTTAAGCTGTTACCTTGGTCATTGTGAAGGGTAGCCAGATGTGCTGTATCTTGTTTTATTTCTAAAACATTCAAGGGGATGGATGGATGGATGGATGGATGACCTATATGGTGGTTTTTATTTTTGCCATGTTTGAGAGGACAAGATTGCTGCTCAAAGAACTTCCTCCTCCTCTGAAAACAGTCCTGAGAGCGGCTCAAGAGGAGCTGGTTACCTTAAACCGACCCATTATTCCTGCAATGAAAATTGGCCTGATGTATTTGAGATCGAACAGCAGATATACCGTAATTTTTGGACTATTGAGCGCAGCTGAATATATGCCGCACTCGCTAACTTTAAAAAGAAAATCAAAATTGTACATATATAGGCCATGCTTGTCTATAAGCGGCAGGTTGTAACATGAGGTATTTACACACAAAGATTTTTTTAAACTTTTAATTAAATACATACCGACATCATACACAAATACGTAAATGCTTTTTTCCAAACAGTGCCTGCAACACGGCTGATTACATTTTTTTTTTAAAAAGCAGCAGCCTTCCAGGAAAAGTCATTGATCGCTATCTTCATCTTCCTCCTGCGCACTAAAACCACTAAAGGTTGTCTTCTTCAGTGTCGGAACTGAACAGCCTCAGACTTACTTCGTCACACACTTCCTCAGTCTCTCTTTCGTTCAATGTCACTTTGGTCTCGAGGGATAAAACTCCATAAATTAGCCGCATCATTGTGCAAAGCGTGTGAAAACAGTCGCGGCTTGTAGTCTGGAAATTACGATGATATTTTACAGTGACTGACTCTTTCTGAAAAAGAATCGCTTCAAGCATTCGTATACTTTAAATAACAGTTCATGTTGCAGCCTGTATACAGGACGTACATGTGGTCACATCTTCAGACAAACAGGGCTTTGACAGAGACACGACTCTCCTTACAGAACCGTCATTGACTCTCATTCCAGAGAGCTCCCGACTAAGCTGCGTAATTTACTAAAGTCTTCCTGAGAGCAATCTTTGTGCAATTGATTTGGCTGGAAATGCTATTCAGAGAAGCTACTGCTAATATTTCATTGACCGCACAGATTCCCGGCTCTCCGTGGCCCAGATCCAGTCGCTGGCTGTGTGTCTGCAGGGACTTATAGCTGTTAGACCCAAATCTGACACCTTTGATTAGTTTAACCGTCTGATTTGTAAAATCCGCCCTTGATGAGCCACAGAGGCAGCTAAAACACAACCCAGCGCAGTCACAGATTACTGCGGGCAACCCTGTCTGCTTGGTTGTAAACATAATGAGCTGTAGCTAATGTGATGCAGTGCTTCTCCAAAATACAAAATGTTCAAATGAAGTGCAGTTTTGCAAAGTTCCTACAAGCTTTTCGGGGTTTTCACATGTCATTAGTTTTCTCCCTTGATGAATTTTTATGAGCCTGCTGGAGAAATTAGACTAAACAAGACTAAATGAAAATCTCTTTTTACAGCATTGACTCACACAACCAATCAACTGGACTGCTTACAGAAATCCCACAAAAGCAAATCGCTTACTTAAACATGGAATCGCTCAGTTTTGTTAAAACTCTGATGTCTGTTTTCCAGCTGAAGGGTCTGGAGCAAGAGAACAAGCACCTGAGTCAGACGGTTTCGTCCCTGCGTCAGCGCTGCCAGGTCGGTGCCGAGGCCCGGGTCAAGGATGTGGAGAAAGAAAACCGCATCCTCCACGAGTCCATCTGCGAGACGACGGGCAAACTTAACAAGATGGAGTTTGAGAGGAAACAGCTGCGTGAGTGACACCGTGTTTCAGCTTTTGTGGTTCGTTGCACTAACTGTGGGTGTGTGGTGTTTCCCATCCGTCTGACTGATTTGTGTTTTTAATGCAGGCAAGGAGCTCGAAGTGATGAAGGAGAAAGGCGAGAGAGCCGAGGAGTTGGAGATTCTGATGCAGAAGCTGGAGAGGGACAACGAGAGCCTGCAGAAGAAAGTTGCCAGCCTTGGGATCACCTGTGAAAAGGTCTGGTGCATGTTTTGTTCCTACCTGAGGTGTCAGTTTGTTTGTTCGGCATGTCATAGGTTCATTGTTGATTCATTGAAAATGTGTCACGGGAAGTGCAGAAGAGGAAGAACATGCATGTCAGGAAATATATTGTAGATGTAGCACCTGGTTGTGCCACCAGGTAGAGCCTCTAGATTCAAGATTCAGGACTGTTTGAGTCTCATTTCATGTGTACTTGCATACATAAAAGTGAGAATGTGTTCTCCCAGTCCAGTACAGTGCAAATAAAAATAATTAACAACAAACATACAACTAAGAAATAAAGGTTAAAACACTGTAATGACTTGAGGAAGGTGTCACATGGACTATCAGAGGTTCTGTGTTGAGTTTAGCTGATAAAAGGCCACCATGAGAAAGCCTCCTGTGATGCTTAATGCTTACCAGCCAGAGCTTTGTGTTGTGAGTGAGCTACAGTGGACCATAGCAGTAACCCTGTGGACTAGTGACGGATTGTCCTTTCCAGGTTCTGTGTCAGATTCAGTCAGGACATGTTAAAATGTTCAGTGAGTCAAATAATTGATCATTAATTGATAAAGCTGCCAACTATCAGTTCAGGAAATTGTTTAAAATTTGCGACCCTGTCTGTGTTCTGGTGGTCCATCAGTGTCAATTTCTGAACATTGTTGAATTATTAAGCCCTTTCTGATTTCTGTAATTGTGGAATATTTGCTTTTCAAATCATTTGAGTGATCCTTAAAATGATTTTGTGATGAAAAATGCTGACGTTGTCCAGCATGAACACTTCACCTCTCGCCTTCATTCACTCCTCGTGTGTTTGTAGGTGTCGTCTTTGGAAAAGGAGAACACCGAGCTGGAGGCTGAGGGCCGCCGTCTGAAGAAGAAACTGGACGCCCTGAAGAACATGGCCTTTCAGCTGGAGGCTCTGGAGAAGGAGAACTCCCAGCTGGAGCACGAGAACCTGGAGCTCCGGCGCTCGGCTGAGAACCTCCGGTTGGCGGGGGCGAAGGCCGCCCAGCTGGATGCCGAGAACAGGGAGCTGGAGAGCGAGAGGAGCCAGCTGAAGCGCAGCCTGGAGCTGCTCAAAGCCTCGTCTAAGAAGACTGAGAGATTAGAGGTAATACCAGTCGTGCATCTGTGACTGGAGCGCAGTGGGACGCAGCTAACATACAGCCATGTGTCGCTGAGAAATAAAAGTTGATTTATGTTAGTTTTTGGATTTGACAGCACCTCAGACTGCTTGTCTTTGTACAAGCTTGTGCAGAACTGCTATAGTGTTAAATTCACGTTAAATTTATTGTCTGAGTATCTGACTGGTGAGTTACAGGGGATCTGGTATATAATGCCATCAGGGAGCATCACAATTAGTTCACGCACAGTTTTAATTTCCTCATCCGCCTCTTCCTCTCCCAGGTGAGCTACCAGGGCCTAGATACAGAGAACCAGCGTCTGCAGAAGGCGTTAGAGAACAGCAGCAAGAAGATCCAGCAGCTGGAGGCCGAGCTGCAGGAGGTGGAGACGGAGAATCAGACCCTCCAACGGAACCTGGAGGAGCTCAAGATCTCCAGTAAACGCCTGGAGCAGCTGGAGCAGGAGGTAGGCGGAAGAGCTAGAAAGATGCAAACTGTGTTGAAGTTTGGGAATTAGACACATTTTTGGACTGCCCTCTTCTCTGGTGTTTCACTGACACAGCTTCTGGTACTTTTTTTGGAATGGACTGATTTTGCCTGGCAGAATGGGGCCAGTCGAACTGACCCAAAAATCCTGGTTGAGGCAGACTGAAGGCAGTGTTTGTGATGTTAAATGAATCAAATGTTAAAATGTGTAATCTGGCAGCACCGTCATTCGACTTCATGTGGGTTCATTCTGATAAAATTACAGCGTGTTTCCCAGCAGAGTTGGATTATCCCAGATTACTTGTCAAATAGATTTTTGTCCCTTTCGAGTTAATCTTTGCCCACTTTTAGCCAAACATCTATTTACACTGAGAAGTAAAAGTAATCCCATCAAATGATGTTTTGTCCGTCACGCCCCCTTTCTACCCCAGAACAAGACTCTGGAGCAGGAAAGCTCCCAGCTGGAGAAAGACAAGAAGCTTCTGGAGAAGGAGAACAAGCGTCTGAGGCAGCAGGCCGAGATCCGTGACTCCAAGCTGGACGACAGCAACCAGCGGATCTCCAGCTTGGAGAAAGAGAACCGCACCATGGGCAAGGAGATGATCTTCTTCAGGGACTCCTGCACCAGAGTCAAAGACCTGGAGAGAGAGAACAAGGAGCTGGTCAAGCAGTCCAGCATCGATAAGAAGACGCTGATTACACTCAGAGAGGTAGGCGGGGCTGTTTATCTGTCAGACATCTGCGAATGATATTACTCAGCATCTTGAGCATCATTTTTATAATGCTTTGGTAGTAATGGAAGCATGAATAGATGATTTGAAAGAAGCGCAGTGCTAAAGTAAGCTTATTTAAATGATCTTATTCTGAAACTACTTATGCAAATTGAATTATATATATTTAAGGATGTTCCAGTCACATTTTCTTGCCCCTGATCTGATGACAATAATTTATCTGCTGATACTATTTTCCTAGAAAGTACAGCTGCACATTTTAAGAATATTAAAGTTATTTAAATCAATCCAATGTGTATGTTTGGCCACTGAATAGCTCCGCTAAGCATCCAAGCTGTTCCTTTATTTTGCTAATTAAGAAAGTAAACAAGGTTGTCATAATTCCACCCAGTGCAGTATTAGTTTTTTTGTTTAGTTTTTTTTAAAAAATAAAATAACCAAGAAAATTAGCTAAAACGTGTCCCCATATATAGTTTTTTTTACATTTCACTAAGTGCTGCAGTTTATTTTAACGCAATAACTGAGGAAACAAACTAAAATGTCTTCATATTTGGTTCTTTTTACATTTTCACTTGGTGCAGCATTTTTTAAAACAACATCATGAAGTAAACAAACTAAAATATGTCTTCAAAAATAGGTCTCATCGCAATTCTATTTAGTGCTGCATTAAAGCAATACAACACACAAAGTACATAATGCAATCACAATTCAACTTCAAAGTGACTTTAACATTCATAGTCAAAACAACAACAAAAAATAGTTTTGCTTAGTGCAGCAGTGTAGTAAAAGTAGTGTATTAAAGTAATAAAGCCAGCAGCGGTTCCATCTGATAAAAGAGATCAGAAACATGCAAATGAAAGCGAATTATGGCACTTTTGGTTTTCCATACAGAAGCCCCAAAAGCCAAAAACCTCAATAAAGACGATGCTAATCAATAAAACGTTGCTTTGATTGGCTCTGATCATTGACATCAGATTGGAATATCCCTGTTGGTATTAAAATCTTTTCCATCAATGTCTGTGATGGTGCTTAGATCAAACATTTCCCACTGGATTGTTGGTTATTTTTAATAAATTGTGCATTTGTTGTGAGTGACATTCATAGTAACTCAGTGTGTAACCGTGTGTGTGTGTGTTTAGGAGCTCGTTAGTGAGAAGCTGCGGACTCAGCAGATGAACAATGATCTGGAGAAACTGACCCACGAGTTGGAGAAGATCGGACTGAACAAAGAGCGACTCCTGCATGACGAGAGCTCGGACGACAGGTATCACGTTACGAACGCTCAAACAGCTGCAATACTGGCTTTGAAAACAATCTCGGCCTGAAACGCAAATAAGAACGAGTCGTGTGTTTATGTGGTGTTGGAATTCTCTGAATAGTCCGAAGAATGACTTCACGACCGGAAAAATTCCACAAGTTTAAGTAACTCAAGGAAAATTTGTTATCAAGTTGTTAGGCGTAGGTAAAAGCTGGTAAAAACGTTTGATTGATGGTGCAAATTCATGCATTTGATATACATTTTTGGCCAATATTTAAATTGTAATGGTGTTAAGTTATAACCCAGAGTTGCTCCATGCACTAATTATCAGAGCCAGAAGCTGTAACAATAGAAAGAATCAATGAATTTTCAAATTTACAGCTGTTCTGTTGGAAAACTTAACCAAACCTAAGCTTAAAATTGCAATATTTCATCAAAACCAGTTTATTCTGTATGTCTTGTTTAAAAAATTGCCAAAAATAATCAATTTTCTCAGACCACACTCTGTAAAAACTGCAGTTTTTGCACTTCTTGATACAACCGTAAAGCCATTAGTGACTCAGCTACAATTAAATCACTTGTTCAGGGACTTTTTATGGAGTTATAACTGTGTCACGCTGCACAGAAGACATTTTTGAGGTCTTTCGTCTTCTGGTCATGGTTCCATAGAGCTGCAGGACTTTAGATTGCAGTAAAAAATGAGCCCACAGTGAGTAATAATGTCACGGGAGGCACAAGACACCCAGAAATGCTCTAAGCAATGAAGTACAACAAATCTTCTTTGTTGCATCTGCTTTGTTTCCACATTCCACCTTTTAAAGCAAAACAAAGTTGTAAAAACCAACTCTGGAAATGAGATCATCCGCGGAGCACGTGGATGCGCTATTAGTCTGTCATCCTGGGATCATTAAAAGTGATTAGCACAATTGGGACTCGACGTAAATCAGGTCTGTGGCCTATTTTAGATCAGGTGATGTGGTTTTAATTAATCAGAGTCTTGCAACATCACCCTGTGGGAGATTTGTGAGTCAGTGTCTTCCCACCTGCTGCGCTGCATCCAAGAAGTCGTCTGTGCTGTACTGTGGATATGAAAATGTATTTCTACACACAGCTAACTGGACCTTCATCCTCAGGTTTAAGCTGCTGGAAACCAAACTGGAGTCGACTCTGAAATCATCGTTGGAGATTAAGGAGGAGAAGATCGCGGCTCTGGAGGCCAGACTGCAGGAATCCTCCAACCTCAACCAGCAGCTTCGCCAGGAGCTGAAGACGGTCAGTAACACAGCATACGGAAATCCAAACAATTACTCAGAAAAAATATGCAGATTTTGGATTTATTGCAGCATAAAAACATCCTCCGCACGGTGACCTCCCAAAAAGCCAGAACACCGACCTGCCAGCTCGTCCACTTGAGAACAACATGTCCTAAAATCTCTCCCCTGCAGTCAAAAACACTAGAAACGGTGAAAACATCGAGGGCTTCTCAAGGCCGATACATAATTTATTCATCCGCTCTTCCACTTCTATCTGCAGTTTATCTATTCATGAGGCGGCAGGAGTCTGTCAAAGAGGTGGAGTGGAATGGAGGATGTCTGCTTCCCTTCGGGGAGTTGGTTGTGTTTGTGAACTTGCTGACACACATCCAACCCAAAGCTTTAAGTGTAGAGTGGAAAAACCTGAGGCATGAACTCTCGGATATAATGGCCTGCTATTATTTTCATTTGTGTTTTTCCAGTCAGACCTGGAGCGGTTCTTCACTGTCAGCTGCCTTCGATTTCCATGTTTATATTGGAGTTGATTTCATGCGAGGACGGAGCAGCAAATGCACTTATTTCAGTGTGTTGACTTGTTTTTTTTTTTCCTCTCGCCAGGTGAAGAAAAACTACGAGGCGCTACGTCAGAGAGAGGAGGAGGAGAGGATGGTGCAGAGCTCCCCACCTCGAGGAGGGGAGGACCCCCAGGCTGTCAGCAAATGGGAGAAGGAGAGTCATGAAGCAACACGGGAGCTGCTGAAAGTCAAAGACAGGCTCATCGAGGTGGAGAGGAACGTAAGTTAGCAGACGACACACGTGACTTTCTGGTGTGAATTCTGAGCACGTGCGTCTTGGTCGAGCCTGATCTTCTATCATTTGCGTGTGCTTTTCCCAGAATGCCACGCTGCAGGCTGAGAAGGTGGCCCTGAGGAGCCAGCTCAAACAACTGGAGACTCAAAGCTCCAACCTGCAGGCTCAGATAGTGGCCCTGCAGAGACAGACCGCCTCCTTACAGGAGAACAACACGACGCTGCAGACGCAGAACGCCAAGCTGCAGGTAATCCTCAACACAGCGCAGTGTCCGGTGAACAATGGAGGGTCTGACAGAGGAATGCATTACAGGTTCAGTGATTAGGCAGGTAATCAGTACAGGAATTACAGAATTACACCATTCATCAGAGACAGAAATTGTACAAAAGCGAAAGAATTGTTGGATTATAAACTTCACAAAGATCTTTCAACTGATCTGGCGTGATTAAAAGTGACAGAAAATTCAAACAAATTTAAGCTTTTAGTTGGGATAGATCATCAGAATGACTATATGCATGCACGTTTAAAAATTCACCAGGACTTAATAGTTTGCTCAGTAAAAAGCAAATAAATTCTGCACCTTACGGTGTAACAAAGAAGCCATTAATGACTCAGCAGTGACCAACAGACACATGACAGAAATTCAGAGAGTTTTCGACTGAACTACAGAATGACTATATTCTACACGCTTGTTTAAAAACTCACCAGGACTTAATCGTCTGCTCTGTAAAAAGCAAATAAATTCTGCACTTCTCGGTGTAACAAAGAAGCCATTAATGACTCAGCAGTGACCAGCAGACACATGACAGAAATTCAGAGAGTTTTCGACTGAACTGCAGGCGGCCTTACGCAGAGCAGACAGGAGTATGGAAAGAAATTAAATGAACTGAACCTTAGTTTTTTCTTTCTTTTGTAATGTATGGCAATATACCTACCTACTTTAGTGGGCTAAAATTGTATCATTTATTTTGATTTAAAGGTTAAAGACTGAACTTGATGAAAACTTCTCGGTCTATTTAGTCGCTGTTTGGCAGCTTTCTATCACATCCCATGATCCCATCAGCTGACAGAACTGCAGTTAAGATGTTTTTGTGTGTGTTTATTTTTCCACTTAAGAACTAAATAAGCTTTAGTCTGAGATGATTTTCAGTAACCAAAAAAAAAAGGCAGGGGGAAGAAATCCAACTATTCATATAGTCTAAAATCACAAAACACAGTTTGCCTCAAGTGGTTTTACAATCCGTATCGCTTATGTCACCCTCTGATTCACATCCTTTTCCCAGACACATGCACTGTATAACTATGTTGAATATTTTAATAAAGATATCATTATCATATTGCCTAATAAAATAGATAATAGCAAGGACACGATGCCGTCTCTATTTATTACAACACTACATACGTGATCCTTCATTTTCCTTCAGTGCTATCCAACTCTTTACGTTGCCCCGTTGGTACATTCGCCCTGCCAGGCTGCTTGGCTCCCTGCTTTGGATTTAGACTTGTCCTCCCTATTTGGCAGCAGTTCAAACCCTTCTTACGAGCGGCAGGATTTACGCCGGCCAGACAGAAGCTTCTGGCTGTTTCTGAGAGTGTTTTGTGCGTCGCTTGATGTGTGACGTGGGCTGGGTGTGGGTCAGGGCAGGTGTGCTGAAGGTGAGGAACAAAACAACTCTTCAAAGGTACAGAAAGAGTGTCGGCACCTGGACACAATGTGTGTGTGGGTGAATGAACACCACCAGTCATGACTGTGGGGAGATTTGAGACGAGGGAACCGCTGTAACCATAAAGGAAACATGAAAAGAAACGGCTCTCCTGCTGGTGTTTGTTTGATGGAGCTTACAGGGGATCACACTGAACAGCTACACAGCGCCCCCTATAGAACACATCAGGAACAGCCTCCTCACCTCTGTATCTGATGCATCCATTTCTGCCTTTGTCCTCGTCTGCAGGTGGAGAACTCCACCCTGAGCTCGCAGAGCGCCTCCCTCATGGCCCAGAACGCCCAGCTGCAGAGCCAGCAGAGCAGCGTGGAGGGAGAGCGCGAAGGAGCGCTGAAGGAGAAGGAGGAGCTGAGAGCCACGTACGAGCTGCTGCTGCGCGATCACGAGAAGCTGGCGGCGCTCCACGAGAGGCAGGCGGTCGAGTACGAGGCGCTGATCGGGAAGCACGGCGGCCTGAAGACCTCCCACAAGAGCCTGGAGCAGCAGCACAGGGACCTGGAGGACAAGTGAGACATAGTTCAGCAGCGAGTCTAATTACAGATTAAGTCACACTCATGACTCATTTTATGCTGTAATTTGAGCGTCTTTTGTACATTGTTCCTGATTAAAAAAAAATCTAAAACCAGCCATGCTGAGTAATGCTGGGCTCAGACTTACAGGAGTTTTAGGCAGATTTAAACCCTGTTTCACCCGACAATCGGAGGAGTAATCTGGTCTGGGATCTTGGTCTGAACCGATGTTTGGCTCAGATTACTGGGTCTTAAAACTCCCCAACTGCTTGTAGACTCACTGGGTTCACAATCTGAATGATTATTATGCTAGTAACCCAAACAAAGAACCGCTGACCATGTCTCCCCAACCGTTTTCAGCCTTTTTTTGTTTTTGTCTCACTAAAAAGTATCCACGAATGCAAAAATGTGAGATTAAATTACACACAATATGATGGTGACACAAATAACAACATTATTCTGATATAAACCAAACTCCTACATTTCCCATAATGCAGCATCATTCAGGTGAAATCTGAACATGGGGTTATTCTATTAGTATTTTGTAGGCTTCAAGCTGACATATTTTCTCAGGCTTTAGACCTCTAGAGAGCAGTCTGCTTCCTCATGAGGTCACAGAAAGTGGTGCACTCTTTTAAATCTAAATAATGCCCAGTAGCGAGTGCTGCACTAACATTTTCAAATCTTGTAGTTTTCCATTCCTCTAGTTAGGCTGTCATTCTAGCATAACGAGAGGAAACTGTAGACCGCTCATCTCTCTGTTGGACTCATGCAGCAGGTTATAATGTGTGTGTTTCTGTGTGCAGATACAAGCAGCTCCTGCAGAGGAAGGGTGAGCTGGAGGAGCTGGAGAAAAACCTGAAGGAGCAGCAGGAAAAGATGGCGCTGGAGAACCAAACCCACCAGGCCACAGCTGACCAGTGCAAACAGCTCAAAGAGGAAAATGATCGGTCAGATCAACCAGAGCTTTCATCTTAAACGCTCATACGTGTTAATAGCATGTTATTGAAGTCGCTGAACTGCCTGCGTGTGTCTCCTCAGGCTGAACAACACCTACCGCCAGCTGGTGAAGGACAACGAAAGTCTCCAGGTGGACCACAAGAACATAAAGACCCAGCTGAACAGCGCCAAACTGGACCAGACCAAGCTGGAGGCCGAGTTCTCTAAACTGAAGGAGCAGTACCAGCAGCTGGACATCGCCTCCACCAAGCTCACCAACCAGTGTGAGGTGAGGACGACCCCCCTTCTCTTCTTCTTCTTTACATCTGGGGGTTTCCCATAATGCACAACCTGTAAAGCCGACCGTCTTAAAGCTGATCCTCCTCTTTCTAATGTCGCATGTTTGCAGCCGGCTTCTTAAACCAGCTGTGTTTTTGGCAGCTTCATCCCTTTTAATTGATCATATGTGTTGTTGAGCCATGTGTCTGGGCGCCTCTTTGATATTTCTGTGTGTGTTAGCTGTTGAGCCAGCTGAAGGGAAACTTGGAGGAGGAGAATCGTCACCTGCTGGACCAAATCCAGACTCTGATGCTGCAGAACCGCACGTTGCTGGAGCAGACCATGGAGAGCAAGGACCTGTTCCACGTAGAGCAACGACAATACATGTAAACCCCTGATGAGACACGTTTTCTGCAAACATGTTGTCCAAATCTGCCAACCAGATTTTATCAGTTTAGCTGCATTTACATGTAGATTGGATGCATTTTAGTTTGTTTTACTGGATCGTGTCTCCTTTGTCCAACCTTCAGAGACAAGCTGAATGAGCTGAGGAGACAGAAGGAGAAGCTGGAAGAGAAGATCATGGACCAGTACAAGTTCTACGACCCGTCACCTCCACGCAGGTAAGAAGCAGCTTCATCTAGTGACTCGAGTTCAAAAAAACTTGGAAATAAAAGACGGATTAGACTTGGCAAGTTTGTTTGCTCGGAAATGGAAGAAAACACTGCAGCCTTCAGGAGCGGACGCATCAAATATTTATGGTCTGGAGAGCGTTAAACATCTGTATACTGCAATGTTTTTCACCTCGAGGATCATCAGAAGGATTTAGAGGTTGAAACAAAGCCTCAAAGACACGGAGCAAGTCAGACAGTTAAAATACATCTTTTTCGTGTCAGTTCCTATTGATTTTATGTCTTGTTTTCTTTTGTCTTGATGGTCTCCTGATCTCCCTCTCTCTCTCCCTGCCTCGTCTTTCCTTTATAGGCGTGGCAACTGGATCACTCTGAAGATGAGGAAGCTGATCAAGCCCAAAAGCCGGGAGAGGATGCGTTCGCTCACGCTGACTCCGTCTCGTTCGGAGTTGGGCGACGGCTTCCTGGCGTTTCCTCCTGACAGCCAGGACAGCTCGTCCATCGGCTCCGGCTCCAACTCGCTGGACGACACGCTCTCACACAAGAGGAGCAGCAGTGAGTATAAAGTCAACACATGTACACTGTGAATCAGCATAGATGACTGAAGGACAATGTACAGAGGAAGAAGATGTGATAGATTGTACATGCAAATTAATGACACCTTTGTACCCAGAAAGTGAAAAACAGACTGCTGCTGTGTGACTGTGTGTGTGTGGGTTTGTATGCCAGAACGGGTTTTTACTTTTCCCCCTAACTGCTCCTTTGCTTCTTTATCTCTCTCTGCAAAGGGAGGAGAGGGCAGCAGTCTCATGCCCAAGTGCAGGGCTCCTCCAATGGTATGCCGCGGACGGGGAGGGTGGGCGGGGCTTATGACCCGACTGTCACGTCTCTCAGGGCATGTTTTCGTGAGTCCATTGTCGTGTCACTCAGCTGGCGTAGAGGTTACGGTTGAGCTGCACAGCACCACAAGGTTGACTCTCAACCTCCGACCTGGTTGGAAGAGATTCCTGTATTTGAAATAACACGAGGTGCACTTGAGCTCTGTCGTCTTATTTATTGGCTGTGGTTATAAAAAATGCCTCTACTATGAGAAAATTAAATTTACTCCCAAGAACGATATACATTTTCATGTAATTAGCCACATTTTAAAGGAAAACTCCATCAGTTATACACATGAAAGTTTTTTGCTCCTGTCATATTTTAACTCACTGTGGGCACATTTTCAATTGCGATAGAAAGTTCTTCTCTGTAGAAATAGTAAAATCAAGTAGAAAGAGCTCAAAAATATATTTTGTGTGGTATTAAAAAATTAGAATGCAAGAAATCAAAAAAAGGGAAAAACAAAAGTTACATTTCTTTGATTATTTATTTACAAAAATCTAAAAAAAAAAAAAAAAAAGTTCAACATTTTTTGCCCACAGGTGGCCAATAGATATTTTACTACTTACATTTGAATTTATCTTCATTCTTCTCTCCTCCCTATTCGGTGTAAACACTGCCTGTAGTTCAACCGAATAGTCCCTGTATTTTTGTCATGACTGTTGGAGTATTTTGGGCCTTTTAAATTGCATTGAGTAGACGGTTTGTTTGTTTTTTAAATAGGATGTTTTACAAAATTTTAAGTGAGACATAAATAAAGTGATTTTGATGAAATATTACAAAACTAAGCCCAGATTTGATTGTTTTCTCAATGGAACTAATTAGTTCTCTGACCTTATAAAGTTGAAAATCCAACAGTTCTCTCTGTTTTCTATGGTTTGTACCTGATAAATTGTGCCATTTAAGCAATTGTTTAAAAGACTACCTGTGTTTTGGAGGATTCAGAGGGTTTATGGTCATTGAATGTCAGCCTAAATCAAGTGCATCTCGTGTGGTTCAAACACTGGACAAAACTTTGTTTAAATTTTGTCCCAGGTCTGTTTCATTAACTTCCTCCTTCAACTTGTTTAAGCTCATCAGTTCTCCAACAGGTTAACCTCCTGATCTGTGCAGTTCACCTGTAAATAAGAACGAGACGTCCTCTAACGTAGCATCACAGCTATTAAAAGGTGCAATGCAATGTTGCCTCTGTCCATGTTGGTCCTATTCAGGTACATTAGCAGGATGGGCTTGGATAATAAGCATCTTCAAGCTGAAACATGCATCAGTTTTGTGAGAAATCCAGATGCTATTCAGTTTAAGATATCACTATATTTTTTATTTAGCACTCAGACATACAGTATAAAATTGTTTTATATTCCATTCAACACTATAAAAGACTATAAACTACCAAGAACAACAGCTGTACCAAAGACATTACACAGTCAAGTATGCAGCAAAGCACTTTGCAGCTTCTTCTTCTTCTTCTTTGTGTTTCTTGAAAATGTTTGTGATGGAAAGACTGTAATCATCCGTGATGCTGTTGAACTTCCCCTTTTCACTCTCCTGATTGCACCCTTTAATACTCCTCCGTGTCTCATCTCAGTGTGGTAACGTGTCGACAGTCGTGTTGTTGTTGTTGTTGTTGTGTACAGTGTGTAATGCTTTGAAACCAGTTTTTAATGTAGTGTTCAGGACCATTACCATGAGAGTGACTGTGTGCTGATAGAACGAGTGTGTGTGTGTGTTTGTATAATGGGTTTCTGTTTTTGTATTTGTTGAAATAATGTGTTTTTGTACAGAAAAGTCTGCCCTCAAAAAGTATTATTCGGGTTTTAAAAAGTCAGTGGTCAAGTGTTTCATTTAAAAAAATGATCGTATATTAACAGAAACCAGTGGTGCTGAATACAAATGGGCAAATTAAAGAGATATCTGTGCACATTTTTCAGCTCCATTAACTTTGTAGTGTTTTTTTGAGCAAGAAGGGAGTGTATTTGCTCAGATTGGATCCTTACAGTAATATGATCCACCTGTTTATATTCTAGTGTCTATTGCATTTGTTGTCTTTTGTCCAGCTCTCTCTCTCTCTCTCTCTGCATCTCTTCCCTCGTTTGTGACAACGTTAACCACATCCCTCTGTTCTGCCCTCCTTTTTTTTTTTTTCCTTTGTTTTCTCTTCCTCCACGTCCCTCGGGTTCGTTTCTGTCGCTCTCTCTCTCTCTCCTGTCTGTCTGTCTGTCCGTCCGTCTGTCTCTGGCTGCGCTCTGACAGCTATAAAAAGGTTGCCTTTCATGAGGAACAGATCCAAGGACAAAGACAAGGCCAAGGCCATCTACCGGCGCTCCATGTGTAAGACCTCCGTTAGCCGCCACGCTAGCCTTCCTCCTCCTCCTCCTCCTCCTCCTCGTCTGCCTCCTTCTCCCTCTCGCTGTCACGCTGGGAGAAACAAAGAAGGAGCAGTCACTGATGTCAGGGCGGTTCAGCTACAGCAGCTCCATTTGATATTTAAGACTCAGTTTGATGACACAAGAATCTAGTTTCAAATTCTGCATCTGGTGACATCAGTGACTTGTCCTTGTAATTTTTCCCCAGTCATCCCCACAGCTCCATCACATCCTGCCGCCTCCACTCTCTCCTGTAGAGTCTTTCTAAGCCTCTGTTAGCGCTCACCAGTGTAGTGTCACTTTATTTTAATATAGCCTCACTATTCCCAGATGAATGAGCATCACAAACTTCACTGACTTTGTCTAAAAAAATGATCAAAATGCTGTGAAAGTAGGGTTTTCCTGTTTCTGCAGCAGCTGTGTCTCTTGTAGTGTGATGCCGTTTGATTTCCATCTCCAGACCAAAGCTTATCTTTCCATTCGGTCACAACATGAATCGCTATCCAAATGGGCGACTTATCGGGCAGCCTTGTCGCGTGCTCTGTGGTTTCATTTTGTTTGTGAATGAAAGGCTCGGTGCGCGTGTGTTTGTGTGTGAGTTCAGGTGTGAGGCTGCTGGTTCGCCTTTCATGCGCCTGTATTGTGTTTGCACCCGTCTCTGATTGCAGCATGTCATAAAAAATCATCAACCGCCTGATCGACGCTCGCACTCACCATGGAGGACTTGAAATGGAGCCTTTATTCTCTCTCTCTGACTCTGTCTCTCTCTCTCTCTTCCGCTGTCGGAGTGCTGCATTTCAGATCTTATTCTGCTGACATGGAGTTATCGCTGCTGCTGCTGCTGCTCAGAGCAGCTCTGCATGCCGTCATGCTTCTCGACCGCCGCACACGACTCAAAGTGCATAAAGACAGCCGGCGACGTCCAAAAGTGTCTGGCTGAGACGGGCCAGGATGACCAGCTGTCATCTTTATGCACTTTAATGTGTTTTATTTATAATACTGAATGCCTGCATGTGCCTTGAGATCCAGAAGGACTGAATTAGTTGTGTGCTACAGGATGGATTTGTTAGTGAGGCCATGTCCACGGGTCATTTTCAGCTTTTTTCTATGCATTTTGGCTTTTTGTCCACATGCAAACACAGTTTTAAGTCACTGAAAATCCCTACGAAGACATTCTCAAACTCTCCAGAACACATAAAGGGGGGCTGCTTCATTCACAGCCTTCTGTTGTGCAAACAGAACAACATTTCAACACCACTGTGTCAGAGGGAAAGTCAACAAAGATGTGAGGCAAACGCATATATTCAACTTAAACCCAGTGTGTGGTTCTCATTGGATAATTGGTTGAATGGGATGTCAAATCTATTGGATATTTATAGCTGTGCTTTTGTTTGTTTGGCCTTGCAAAAGTTTATTTTTTTCATCCTTGACATGAGGAATTGCTGGATTTGTCATATTTCCTCTGGTTCATCACCTCTGGCAAATGTTTGTTAGATGTTGTTTGCATCTTTATCCAACCCAATTCCAATTTCAGCCAATTACGTACCAGTCACCATGCAAAGAACACAGCAAAATAGACCTCTCTTAAAGTTACAGAGATAAAGGTACACTTAGATTCTGATGAAGACACAGTAGTGTTGAAAAGGTAAACCGGTTGGAAAAGAAAAACCCGGGAAACAAACCCCAACCCCCCCGCTTTAACCCCCAAAAAGGAATTCGACCTGAACCGAAGAACAACAAAATCAACCGCAATTTGCCGGAAAAAGCAAAAAAAAACCCGGTTCCAACAAAATCAAGGGTTGCAAGGGTGGCCGGTTAAAAGAAAAAAACTTTGTGCAATAGCAGATGTGGCCAAAATAGTGCTGGCAACCTGCTAAAAGAACTTTTTACATGTTTACACATATATGTAGAGTTTACATGTAGAGTTTCTTTTCTACTATATTGTGAAACTCAGTAAACATGATTCCTCGATGCACCGTTGTTGGAAGTCTATCACAGGCCACCATGGCTGTAGGGTTATATCAATGCTTGTTGATCCAGCATTTTCTTTATAGTGCTTTAATTGTGTTTTCATGTGGACAAACATATTCTTTTGAGAATAAAAAATGCTTTTTTTACATGTGGACGAAGCCTGAAATTACATCTAGCTGTAACTTTGATCAAGATCTCACCAAACAGGGCTATTTTCTGCCGTGTTCCTGTGCTTAGTGTGGGAGTTGAGCTTTGGTCCTCATGAGGCTGCTGTATTACAGCCTCGTGAACAAGAAGTAAAGTAGTTCTCCACGGATATATTAGCAGCTAGTTCCTCTCAGCTATTTTGTGACCCCGTAATGACTAAACAGATACGAAATGTCTTTGGCAAAAACATGCATTTCCTTAAAAGCAGTGAGCTCCAACTTCTGAGCCACAGCTCGAGGTGAAATAAGACATAACAAAATGTCTAATCTCGGTTCTTGTCCTCATTTCCGTCCCTCCATCCGCCTGTTCAGCCATGAATGACCTGCTGCAGAGCATGGCGGTGGCCGGCGGTCCCGGGGCTCAGTGGGCCGGCAGCACCGAGAATCTAGACGGAGCCGAAGCCGGAGACGCCGGCATGACGGGCAGCAGCCGACGCAGCGGGCAGCGCATGAAGGAGCTCGCCTTTTCCACCAACGCCATCGACTGTGCCGCCCTCACTCTGCCCAGTGCCGGGCACAGCAGGGCCAAACTCCGGCTGCAGGTCAAAGGTTGGGATGCTGGTTTTATTATACAGCTACTTATGTTGGTGTTTTCTGATCATATTTCCAGTTCTTATACTTTGCAGACTAGATTAATTTGAGTACCATGTGGTGAAGTTGCTGCAGCATCACTCTCTTCTGTATCTCACCAGACAATGTCTCCTGTGAGGACGTTGCCGGCTCCTCAGATGACCCCAAGAGTCACGGTAAGGTTCAAGCATAAAACTTGAGTCAAATGCAAAGAAAAGCTGTAGGTAGCTGCAGCAGCCTCTCAGCACCAGCCGGGAATCTGAAAGCCCTGCAAATGAGAACAGACCCGAAAAGGAGGTCAGGTCCCCTGCTAATCTTAAGGCTGCCCTCCTGCACTTCGATTAAACTTAATCTACTGTTGGGGAAGCAATTTTAGTGGAGAGCACAACACAGAGACAGAGATCAGCCTCCACTGAAAGTAGGATTGACTCTAATTCAGGCGTTAGGACGTTATCCAGGGCGGTTAATCTGCAGCCAGGCGACGACTCCTCACTTCTGCTCTAATGTCGATGACCCAGTTGTTAAACAGCCACCAAACTACTGACACACATTCCATCACTTAAGCTACACCTTATTGCTGTTAGCTTTAGATGTTGTACATGTGATTTTTAATTTACGAAAATGCATTGCAAAGGGTCATTAAACTGGTTCTGCAGGATGCTGGTGTAGCTGGTGTTGATTCTACCTTGTTGATGAGTTCCCAGAATTCACTCATAAAATGAAATATATTGTTGTTCCAGTAATGGCTGGATGAAGTGCACATCCAGTCTGACTCACACACATTACTCATAATGTACCAGCCATCTACTAGAGCTGTTATTTGTACCGTCATTAATGCTAGTTTGAGATATCTATTGATTATTTTTTAAAAGCAGCTTTTATGTTCTGTGTTTTAAAAAGTATTAAACTTTGCTTGTTTGTCAGTGTGAGCAGCAGTAGTGAGTCGTGTAATGTCCCTTCTCCATCTGGGTGTGTTGCATTATGTGTGTCTGTGTGTGTGTGTGTGTCTTATCAGGCCTGCAGGCGTGTAGCAGCGCTCTGGCTTTGTGTCCTTCCCCTGTTGAGCCGAGCGTTATGTGCAGAGTGCCCTGTAACATCTGTAGTAAGTGACAATTACTCAGCGGCACTGAGGATCACTGTGGGTCACAAATAACGAGCTGGTTTCCTCGACATTCTAACTGATACTGATCGGTAGTGGACAGATTCATTTAAAATTCTAATTTGGTTACCACGCATGTCCTGAAAACCAGTTGGGGATGATTTCACGGTCACTGGTTTCCAGTTGAAGCTGTGCCTGTGAATGCAGAAAAGAGCAAGGTCACCCTGCCGTCACTCCTCTCCTTTCTTTGTGCTTCTCTGTTTCACTCCAGGCTTCACATTTCTTCCGTCACTGCTAACCCACTCTGTCGTCCTCTGTTCTCGCTATCGTCTCCATCAGTTCCCCCCCTTTTCCTTAAAGTGGCTCGGTCCTTGTGTTTAGGTGCTCCTGGCCTCTCTGTCGGTAGTTTCTTTGTTTTTAGACTGGACATATTGTGGCTGCAGCCTGGCACTGAGCCACCCTTCCTGTCCCTCTGCCTGGCATGTGCCATCTGCTGCCCCAGCGGGAGACGTTCTGCTAGCGTGCAGCTAACTCCTTGTGTCGGTGCATGCCGGTTGCGGGTACATGTATGCGAATCCTAACTGTGTGTACGTGTTGTGCGTCTTCCCTCTTGTCCCTTACCCAGCCTCCAGACCCACCAGTCTCCATAGCAACAGGACCACCAGTAGCAATAGTAACAATAACTCCCACCTCACTTCTCCTCTGGAGGGCAAAGGTATGCTCCTCCTTCCTGTAACCCTCTTCCTTCACCTCTGTGTCTGTCCGCTAACTACTCTAGACTCCTCTGCTGCCTTTATCTTTTTCTTTCCTGCCTTAGCTCAGACCTGCTTTGATGTGATCTCCTGTGAAAATTTGATGAAGTTAGTTTGTCCTGATTTAAAGATGAAGGGCTTTTTTTCTCTCCTCCAAGGAAAGCAAAGCTTCATGTTCAGAATCAATGTTATTTAATCAGCAAGTGGCACCTTTTGTAGACCGTAGTATTAAAAAGAAGAATGTATAATAGGTTTTGATTTATTTACAACTCACTGGTAACTGGACTTTTATCACATTTTGCTTCTTTGTCATTTCCAAGTAAACAGTCATGGATGGACAGTGTAGCTGAGCAGATTAATGAATAAGCACAGATCTATTACCCATTTCAGAAATAAGCTTAGATCTCATGCTGCAAAGGCAAACGAGGTCCGATCAAAAAGTTGCTGCTGCCGTCCCCTTAGAGGTAGTCACGTTGTGCAGCGATACACTGCTCCCGGGGCTCCTGCTCCACGTTTGTAACATCTGCTGGAGCTACGATTCTGGAAGCGCGTCATCCTCCTCCGCTGTTTCCAAACAAAGACCTTTCAACTTGACTTTCATTTTGCAAAAGAGGGAAAAAGTTGCAGGGGCACAAATTTGGCAGGTAGAGTGGGCGGGAGGTGACAATTGTGTTTGTGTGTCAAAAAATCCGCGTTTTCATGATAGAACAGGCAGTTGCCACCGTGCCACAGCGCAGGTCGGTTGTGCTGAACGTTACAGTAGAACTCTGCTTCGACAGTCTGATCCTGAGGGAAGAAATCTAAACGCACGACTTTGTGAATGTAGAAGAAATCATGGAGCCTGCTCTTGGTGTGCTCCCTGCCTGATACACCTTTGCAGTGGAAGCACCAGCAGTCTCCAAGAACAAAGAAACACCTGATTTGATCCTTATCTGACTTTGCTCTTGGTGACTCTTCCGCTGCAGAGACTGCTGTTTGGTTCGTAACGGTTGGCACAACTCTCATCAACAATGACGATCCCGTTGACAGAGATGTGTCGGTGCTACTTCTGAAGGTCCATCTTAAAATTGGAAATATGAACCTGCAAGTGGTCCCAAAATGTGTGTAACACAGGTCCTGATGTTCATCGTGCAGCTTACTGTGGAAAATAAAGCGTTTCTGCTCGTTCCTGCTGTGCGTCTGTTCTTGCGCTACAGACTTTTTAATCGCACCTCGTCCAGTATTTGACAACTCAGCACCTTTTAAATGACCTGATTTACTGCACGTTGTCTGACAATGTGGTGAGATTTGATCAATGCTAATGCAGTTTCTAGCAGCGAATGATAACCATCAATAAATCAATTAAGGTCTTAGACTACTTTTTCTCAGCACTTAATCACTGCCTGTCCTCTAACAGGCACGTTGAACGGCAGCCTCAGCAGGCCGCACAGCGAGAGCAGCGGCGAGTTCAGCCTGAGTCTGGACCAGGAGGTGTGGTCGAGCAGCGGAAGCAGCCCCGTCCAGCAGCCCACCTCCTCCCGGTCCTCCCACCAGAGCCCCCTGCAGCTGCGCAGGTCCCTCGACCCGTCCAGCGCCGCCGGCAGCCCCGGACAGACCCAGATCAGGAAGACAGGATCCCCAGGCAGCGAGGTGCTTTCCCTTCAGCAGTTCTTGGATGAGGGTATTGACCCTGCAGAGGTAAGGCCTCTGACTCGGTTGTAAATGATGTTCATGTATGCAGCTGTTGCGATGTCGCTACTATAGATTAAAAACCTGCAGGTGAAGACTGAATTCAGTTGAATCCCTTTGATCAGTCAGTTTAGGATACATTTCAAGCTGGAACTAACTGACTAACTATTCTGCTTATTATGATTTTTCGAAGCTCAATGAGGTATTAAACATCAATCCAGCAACATTTCTGGTATAAAAGTATTGTTTGATAGTTTAACTGTCCTGTTTCTTTGTTCTGCAGTCTGGCAGTCAGGAGAACCTCACTGTAGACTCTCCTCGCCTCTCCACCTCCTCTGACCATGTGCCGAAGGAACGCACTTCCACCAAGGGTCGAGGCATATTGCGCTCATCCAGTGGGAGAGCAGCACCAGTCAGCAGTGACCGGCCACCGAGATCCTCAGGTCAACCAGGGCGCCCAACCCTCCGAAAGGCCGAAAGCACCCGCGTGAAAGGCTCCGCCCCGATCCGCTCCAGCCTGTCCTCGCAGGGCAAAGCCACGTCCGTCTCCGAGCGGCTGGACTCGGCCTCCTCCACGCTGCCCCGGGCCAGCAGCGTCATCTCCACCGCCGAGGGCACCACGAGACGCACCAGCATCCACGACATGCTGTCCAAGGACAACCGGCAACCCGTGTCCGTCGACGCTTCTCCTCCCGTCGCTTCCACCAAGGCTGGGGTTCGCTCCCAGCCGACACCCAGTGAGTACCACCCCATCAGCACCAACCTAAAGGGACCCTTTACCACCACCACCACCACCACCCCTCTGCCCAAGTCACACAGCTTACCTTGCCATAGCTTGGAGGACCCCGACCTCTCCACCCTCGAGTCTTTCCTCGGCCCTTCCTTCACAGTAGAGTCTGTGTTCATGGACTCCATCTTTAGTGAGTCGGCAGGCAAAAACCTCCCCTTCCTGTCTCTTAACCCCACCCTAGTCAGCAACATCAGCGGGCCTCCTGTCACTAATAAGACCCACCCTCCTCCCGTCCCCAACCACATTTCCACCCAAAACCCTCACAGCCAGTCAAATGGCCAGATGAGATCCAGCTCAGACAGCCTGAAAGAGTATAACGAGGGTGTTGACGCCAGTCGTGTGAATAATTCGGACCCGTCAATGAGCCCAGAGGACAACCAGTCTCTGTGGTACGAGTACGGCTGCGTGTGAATGACAGGGAGGTTTGCTGATCTCGATACTCAACTTGACTAAAAGAGGGGAGAACGAAAGGACGGATAAGGAATGAATCCTCCTCCTCTGCATGTATTTATCAGAGCTCTATCTATCTCTGTGTGGTGTTGTTCTTTTCTGTTTGCCATGGTGCTGACTGGTGATTTTATTTTCTGTTCTGTTCTGTGAGGTGGGACTTTGATGAATGTTCTTCCGTCCAGAAGCTTTTGCCGTATTATTGTTTCCTCATCAAGTCTGTTTCATTGGCTAACACTAAACTATTATCTGCTGTAGTGGGTTCATGCATCACACGCAATAGTGCTTCTGTTTTAATATTACCTGAGTGCAGAATTGAATTTCCTAAAAGCAAACGCATCACCTGGATCCATCAAAAGCAGCAGAACCTCTTAATGTCAAAAATAGCTGTCTGTGATGGAGAGCAAAGCATTGTGGGGCTTTAAAGCAACAATTCCCTCACATTAAAGTCTTCCAGTGTGTCAGATAATAGATTCACTTTCCACTTTTTGATTATTTTGCTGTTTTGATGTATGGGAGACTCCTTTTTTTTTTTTT